TAATCATAGAGAAGCCTTGAAATGTCAGCTATCTATTGTATAATGCGTATAGCTGCTGTAAAGCTGGTAGCGCGTGATCTGCTTCAATGGACCCGATTCTCCACGGTGTCCGATGGCGGTTAATTAGGTCTGTAGTGGCTAGTGACGATGTTTTACATTATAACAACCCAAACAAAACCTGGTGCTTAATTCACCATAGCTAATAAAAACTCTACTACTATAAAGAAAAGTAACTCTAATGCAATAGCAATTTTGTTTGGGCAGTTATAATTTAATAATCTACAGAAAACCAGTTCAATAGCAGTTTCTTGAATAATGAAGTCGTTTTTAAGACAAGTATTATTTCTTTTAAAAGTAACTTTTTAAAAATATATATATATTTTATGATTTTTAGTGATAATTAATGTTCAACATAGAAATTCCTCTTACGGATTATTATTGAATGCAGAATATGTTATCTTTCGTTGTCGCTAATATAAACATGTTATCTAAATATTTGGGCGATATTTGGTGAAAGGCATATTTTGTTTTGATATAAAAAAACTACCAAGTCGATTACGATAAAATTAATATGAGACCACATCGGGTCCATAAGCTGTCTAATAAAAAAAAAAACATTTGTGTGTGTAAAAATAAAAATCAAAACCATTTCCCTGTAATTGCCAGAGCACTGCTTGCACCCGGGCGCCTGTTGTGCTTAATACGGGCCTGGTTCACCTTTTGCCGATGTGATGCGATTTGGCAGGCCGGCCGTATGGCATACCGGACAGGTCGAATTATTTCCTACGGTACGATGCCAGATCATTATAGAAAAACTTTAAATTTGGTTTCGTACCCAAAGTGTAAAACGGGACCCTATTGCCGTCTGAATTCTATTCAGTATCTAGACTGAATAGAATTCAGACTGCAATCGGCCAATGTAATTCCCCCAAAGAAACCTAATAATACCAGATACTTAACTCTTCTTTTAGAATTTTTATCAAGCCACAGAAACGTAATTGTGTAGTTCTGGTGCAATGATTTACTCGAGTTGTTAATGTTATGAGCATTTACATATCGTACATTTGCGATGTTTTTACATCAGTAATCGATATTTCATGTATTTTCTTTTCTTTTTATTCTCTACAGATGTCACAGTCACTAATGTAAATAAAAAAACTGTTCAAGTGTAAGGTTGTTTGTATTTGTTTTATGTTTTATAGAGATAACAGCACGTGTACTAGTTGTATATTCGGGTCAGTCTTGTAGTTTTCACAATTGATAAATTGGATTAGATAAGATAGGTCTAACAAAAGCGATGCATTCATAAAGAAAATAGACTGACCATGTTTTATTAACATATTAATAATAAACATTCAATCGAATTTTAGAGTCTTAATATTGATTTCAGCTTCCCTTTGTTTGGAGGAGTAGTTAATTATTTATTTGTAATTATTGTCATTAACATGATGATATTATAAGTACTTATAAGTATAAGCGATTAACGTGCAACTTCGCCCGCGCAATGTTACCCTCGTTTGAGCTTCTCGTTAGTTAAAGAATTTTTAAAATAAATAAGCTGCGAAGGCTATTCGATGCAAACAAGCAATCAAGACTTTCCTTTTTATAATAATAATATAGACAACATTTTGTAGCTGTGAGTGCTTTTGGTTCAGCCCTGCGATTTTGTACAATACAAACCCGAATTCGATTTCACTCAGGTGTCCAAATTCACTACAAAAAGCGGCATTCTCTTAATCTTGAATTGGTAATACCGTTTCGGACCATAAGTGAAGTGAGTTTCGAAATAATATAGGGATAGAATATCCGAGACACGTATAATCAATCAATTTTGTTTTGTATTATGATATAAAAAATGGAATCGATAGAATTTCTTTACTAATTCGGACACACGAATGAACTCGAATTCGGGTTCGGATTTTTACAGAATTGCCCTTCAGGAATATCGAACGTTCTACGACAGTGGCGTAGTTTGATTTGGATTCTGTATCAAAATTAGTTGGGGCCCCAAATGGAGAAAACATCTCAGTTCCACGGGTAAGATAATAGAAAAAGGAGTTTTTAGCTATTTCTAAAAGGTTCAACAAAATAAACCCTTATTTAATATGACATAGAATTGTATGTTACTTGTAAACTCTATTGTTTACATATTATCTTAATAAGATTTAAGAGCAAACAGATCCTTCTCAGGTAGCGTGCTACCTTCATGGCATTGAAACAGGTAGATAATTTAATTGATAATAAAAATATTGTCAACATTGTTCGTTGCTTCGCAGTTAGTTAGCAAGAACGTGTTATATTTGACCAAAAACACGCTAAATGGAGCAACACGTATAGTCAACGGCACATCGGCTTATTCAGTTCCATCAAATTTCTATTGATATTGATACGTAAAATATTAAGTGTTAGGTACAATATCAATTGCTGAAAGTCATTATGTGGTAGCCCGATGTAATGCATGTATATACGCCGGAAATTATATTATTGCAGGACACATAAGGTGCACACGTCTGCACGCCTGGTTCCACAATACCTCAAACCTCTGTAGTTGATTGTAAACTCTACTCTCAAAGCATTAAAGTTTAAAACAAAGTGGAAAAAATTGTCAGATTTGTATAATGTGATGTGCTGTTGACAGTATATGGCGCTAAAAATGTTCCACTCCTAAATTTTGGGCATGAATTCTTTAAAAGGCTAATAAATATGTGAACTTAAACTTAAGATATATTTAAAACTGCAATAGGTAGATAGTGAATTGTCTGTAAAGTAGGTAGTCTGTAAATCAGGAGCATTTACAGTTATTCACTATGATTATTTCTTTACAAAAAGTGACCACATAAATATCCTTATTGACATGAATTATGAGAATGACGAAAGTAATTGCTTTTGGAGTTCTATTTCTCTATAATAATATTATTATTTGTTTGTTTGCATTGAATAGGCTCAGAAGCCGTTGAACCGTTTTAATGTTTCTTTCGCTACGGAAAGCTACAGGTTATAATTTACGCAGGCGAAGTCGCTGGAAAAAATACTCGTATTATAAGATAATTGTTCAAATTCTTATATTTAAGGACTTGCATATAAAAGTATCTAATTTACGTAAAGGCACTGAAGAGATTTTTTGTAAATCAATTCTTTTTCAATTCAATCCTTATAAACCACAGTAATTAACATTAGGTTAGAAAAAAATGTATACTGGAGTGCAATTTTAAAAAAGCTTTATTTTACTTGCATTTGATGCGCTTGATAATATGATATTGATAATAATAATAATAGCTTATGTTGATCCAGAATAAATGTTTATATTCATATTTTGTTTTATTAAAAGATGGTTTTTTAAATTATTTAGTTTACATATAAACACACAAAATTCGTTACATTTCTTTATTAGCCTGTTTCAATTTTCTTTTATAAGGCATTATTCCCCTTGCAAAACCACTTTACAAAGATTCATTATAGCTGCCTACACATTACACAAAATTAGCCCCATCAATTTGTATCCGCATTTTGAGGGAATGACCGGATTTTTTATATACGAAACTGATTTTTTTTTAAATTAATTCTTGTTTCAAAGTTTGTATGAATGAACTGCGGAATAAATCAACTTATCATATTAATCAGTCAGCCAATACAAAAATAAATGTTTTGTATTTATAGATTTACAGACAGTTTTTGTATTTTTGATTATAAAACCGATGAAGCACGAATGTAAAGAAATTGGTGAAGTATCAAAAAGTAAAAGATAACCTGTATCGGTCAGGTTCGATAAAATGTTTTTAGTTCACGATCAGGATAAAAAAAAAATCTCTCTTGAATAGATTAAAATAAAAATGTAAATACCTACGTAGCGAATAAACGTGTCTAAATAAGAATAATAAATAATAAACTGCAATAATATAAATACAAGCATAACTAAAATATAAAGTTAAGTATCTAATGCATGCATTTCTTAAACAAACCAGAAAAATCTTTGAATTTGCTAGAATATGAGTTGAATTTTTAGTATTTCTAATAAGATTTTAATAAAAATATTTTAAGAAATAAGTCTGTTTTTATACTCACATTTTAGATATTACAATTAGAATGAGTTCACAAGTCACGTTAAAAAATAATATTCACACTGCACTTCTAAGTCTGTTTTTGCTGGACAATTATTTCCGTTATATTTATTATTTGTTTTTATAACAAAATAGTGATCCGCCGCTGCCGGCTGTTGCGCGTTTTTTGATATCACTCTATTCAGGTTTGAACATGCCGCCTATCGCATCGGTAAATAAAAAGGCGGGAACGTGCACAGCGACCTCTGTCGTTTGTTCTTAAACAATTTAGTTCTGCTCCTCGTCACTAGAGAGCGTTACCTCAAAGTTCCAGTGTCATCAAAAATCAAGCATTAAATTCAACGTTTACCCGTGAATCAAAACAAGTTATTTTATTTTGATGTTTTTTGTAAATTAAACAACTTTTTAACATTTAGTTAATCGGTTTCATTTATGGATAATGAGCGTGAATCAAAATATTTTTCGTTTGAGGAGCTCGATGGCGCAGTGATTAGCGCGCTCAGTCTGCCATCATAGCCCATTCTCCCTATTCGATTCCATCCATAGGACTATAAGATTATTATTTATGTATTTGGTCACTTTTATCTGGTCAGTTGAGTATATCCTCAAAGAAAATATTTCGTATCGTCTTCAAGCAAAATTGTAGTAACGAGGCCGGCTCGGGCTTCCATACGTTGGCGTCAACGTAAACGTGAGAATTTTGCTCATTGACCCCCAGATTCGTGATTTCCCGTAACAAATAGGACTGAAAAATGGCGTGGCTTCTTGGAATACCAAGATCTCAGTGTTGCACGAGTGGAAGTGCTATTATATAATCTCAAGATACAAAATAGCAACTAAAATTATGCAATTTCAACTTGGATTATCTTCGTACTCAATCTTTATAGTCGAAATTGACCCTTTTTTTAATTAAAAGTAGGTGTAGAAATAAAAACGTCTTTTGTATAGATTATTTTATTGTATCTATCTTATGCCTTACAAAGAAATATAGATTCTGTTAAACTTGACTAAATATATAAAACAGAATCATAATGGAGTGGCAAATACATTTATAACATATAAACAAAAATAGATTACACAAAATGTGAAGACAGCATTTATGTACCTCTAAATTAAAACAAAGAGTTGATGCCATTGAAAATACTCATGTTTATTTTTCAATAGCATGTTTATTTTCATTTACACATATCGTCATAAAATTATCTTGAATGCAAAAAGTATTGCATAAATAAATATTCTATAGATTATTTCATTTTTATTGCAATGAAACTAAACAGTTGTGTGAGATAATGGTAGAACTCTGCTTTGTCCGTACGCCATACTTTCCATGGTTTTAAATGCTTGATATACACTACTTATCTGTATATTAAAATATAACATAGACTTAATTCAAAATAGAGAATAGATGGGTCATGCATGATATAATTATTACACTAACTTTATCAACTTCAAGAGATTTCAACCAGTTTCAACATAAGTCACTTTAATACTGAATACGATTTTTACCATTATTATATCGTATTGAATAAAACATATAGTTAAACTATGTGTGTACTTACATTATAAAATTTCATAATAACTACACTCAAATTAATAAAATCGAACACGATACTCTTTAAACTAAAACATTATGATTTACAAGTAATTATGAATTTTCATTTACAACGCTGCTCGGTGTTGCAGTAGGTTTTTCTACTTTGTTAGGAGATTCTTTAACTGCATCTGTAATAAAATAAAACGACATAATAAAGTTTTAGCTTAAAGTAATTAATTAAGTGAATGCCATTCCATAATCATTTTTATTTCCAACACGTAATGTACGCAGCACCACTACCGTAAGCAGACCGCTGTTAGTAGGGAATTTCTATACGAAGCGCGGTCGGTACAAAGTATACAATGTATAATCTGACGTACAGCCGTGTGTACAAATTAGTCATTGGCAGACATCTATACAGTTTGGATACCGCCTTTAGAGGACGCGTAGGATAGCAAACTGTTATGGATTTACTCATCTCTAGCAACATTACAAAAAAAATATCACATCATGTCTACAAGTTGAGAACAAAAAGAGGTTGGAATAACGAGAAAAATAAAAGAAATATATTTATTTCAACGTTTACCGATTGGTGTTACTGTTATTTAATTATAAGCAAAGGTATCTACCACATACAGCCTATTTTTAGGTAATACTTTTAAGTTTCAACTAAGATATCAATGTTTGCTTCTTTGTTTTTGGCGCCACTAAAAAGAAGATACGAAAAAGAGGCGACTCCTTGTTCTCAACAGTTAAATCTAATTAGTCATGCATATTGATAAACAATAAATAAATCTCCAACAATTTCTGTTTAATGCACCAGAACTGCTAATTTTCTTTGAATGGATAATTTCGAATAATTTTTATATAGTTTGTTGGAAAAATACATTTTATTATTATTTCAATTTCAATTGAACCAACCTTTGTCTCCGATTAGTGTTGATTTCAGTGCATCAGATGTAGGTAATTTTATGCCTTGTTTTAAAACCATAGTACCGTCCTAGAATAAAAAATAAATAAAGATTAATTATTTCAATAGTCCAATAAAATTGAGATTTTTAGTAAAAGTATGAGGCTTGGCACATAATCCAAATGAACTCAAACCAATTTTTATGCCATTCCATGTTCGGTTGTAGACAACATCAAATTGTTTTCGTTTTTGATAACCGTGTGTGTAACTGACATATTGTTATGTTAAATAAAATCTTTTTAGGCAAATCTGATAGAGTAATTGAAAATACAAAAAATATTATAATTTGTCAATTTTACATTCACAATGCTATATTAGAAAATATTCTTAATGAAAATGCTTAAAAAAATCATTTTGCTTTGAGGTACTCTGAGATGGGAGAGTCGGTATGGATTGCGAAAGGTCGATGTTTGTGAACTTTTTAAAACATTTTTCATTAAGAATACTAAAATTGATCAAATATCATATTTATTATATCAATCAATATCAACAAGCTGTCATTTTTCTTTGATAATGCTTGTTATTGTAAAAGGAACACATCATGCTCATTTACCTATCTATCCTATGTGATATCTAAAATCAAATATGGTGCTGAACCACTGCACCATCAAACTACTCAATTGGGTACTTGAATGTTGTAGGATAAGTATCTAAAGCCTTTCATGTATTATATAAAACCACTATTTTATTTATTATTCTTCATAAAGTGTTATTAAATAAAGGAAAAAATATCTTTGTCCCTCGAAAACAATCAGTCACTTGACATATAATTAATTCTTGTAATCCACAGATTATAAATCGCAATTATTGTTGTAACTGTCAAGTAGCCAATTGTCAGTTATCTACTATTTACATTAATATTCTAAATGAAATAACCAGAAATATTAGCATAAAAATAGATACATAAATCAATAAAAGCAAACATACCTTCATTTCTACAAGACCTTGTTTAGCCATCGCTTCTACCTCCGCTTTTGTCATTACTATCTTCTGTACTTTGACGACTTTTTTGCCGATTTGCATCTCGCATAGCTCTCCAGGACCCATTGCTGAAAACAACAAATACATATAATGAATACCAATTTCAAAAATAAGGATTTTTGGTCACTCTAGCAAATTCTATATTTTGTTACCCCTTCCGAAGAATGTGAGAGAATTATGAATAAACTTTATTAATAAATTTTTATACTTACGTCGACTGACTGGCAATGGCAATGGTTTAACTCCTGGAGGAAGGGCTCTGATAGGTACCTGTAAAATGTAATAAAACATTGTACAGCAGCACGTCAGGGCTGGGCTGTCAAGTTTACTTCTCAGGTACTAAAAGTCTAGACCCACTTTGTTTAATATACCTAAGTTCTAAGTTTAGATAAATAAAGTAATATTTAACATTTTATATACAAATTATTATAATAATTTTATATACAAAAAGAACATAAAATGATTATTATTTTTTATACACTAATAGGCACCGCGGTTGTGGTTGTTTCTTTGTACATTTACAAAGTTGTATCCTTTTTAGAAGACCTTTGGATCCAGGATCCAAGGTCAAGGTAAAAAAAAAAATTAAAAAATTAATGACTTATGATTTAAAAACCCTAAATGTTACTTACTTTTTTAAGTGTTTGCCCAATGGGAGACATGACTAAGTTGGCAGGTGGCATTATTTGATCAGTACTAGGAGATTTGGTTACTTCATTCTGAGGACAGATTGTTATTAAGTATGACAAAAGTTCGTTTATTTACACATAAAAAAAGGTTACTAATGTTTACTAATATTATATTAATGTGCTTAAAATAATAAGAGAGTTCGTACAGTATAGCCTGATACAAATACCAACTTTCAGTATGGAGATCAAACATTAAAACATAGCAGTTGCTTTTTTCTTATTATAAGGGTATCATATATTTCCTTTTTAATATATGAATAATCCAACGACGTTTTCTTTCGGATTATTAGTAAAAAAAAAAAAATAAAACACCTTTAATTTCTAAATGGCATCATAAGCAAAATACATAGTATAAAGTGACTTCTACGTATTTTCACGCTGTAACATAAGTATATGTTGCTTCCATGAAATACATAAATTTTCCTAATATTATATTTGGAAACTCATATTTTTATAAAAACACGGATAATAAATATTAAGAAAATATTTGTAAATAAATCAATAATATTAACAATGAAATACGACTTCAATCGATATTACTATATAGTGTTAAATATATTTTGTTTTGAATCCAATGAAAATTTCCATGGGAAAATTGCATACCAATAGCCTTATACTTATGAAGCATGAACATAACACGTAATATTTGCAGCAGACTTTTGAGTTAAACACTACTAAAAATCATTAAAATCCACTCAGAAATACTTTAAATAAAGTTTTATCATATTAAACTACTAAAAAAAAGGAAAAAATAAAGTTTAATAAAAATCACTATTTCCTATAATTTTTTTAGTTGGATTTCAGTAATTTTCATTGTCGCTATGATAAATTGTAGATATAATAAAACCAAAATTTGTGAAAAAAGTCGTGTTAGTAATTTTGAGTGAAGGAAATGAAGGTTGTTTGACTTGATGTTTTATTTATACCTTCCGTAGCTAAAATGAGATGAATTCTTAAATGTAGTCTCTTGCAATTGGCTCACAAACTTGATTAAAAATCTTCCAGGCTTATATCGAATTATTTCTGATTTTCTAGTATTTGTATCAGGCTAGTAGTACTTTTATACTGAGTGATAAATAAGGTTCACACTTCACACATCTTTGTTATAATATTTAACATCTATGTATGATATCTCCCCAACAAAACTTTAAGACTATTTAATAAGGACTGGCACACAATATTAACACTGCTTATAAACAAATCAAATAGGAGGATCACATAGGCCAATAATGGATGAAAAATAAAATAAAACTTACTATATTTTTTCTAACAATGTTGACTGGCTCTTGAGGGGCACTATTGGACTCTTTCACGTTGGAAGAGTCTTCTTGTTTCGATTTATTGCTAGTATCGTCCGAGGAGTCCTTTTCAGTTTCCATGGCTTCTTGTTCATCGTCATCTTTCTTCACTTTTGCAGGTCTGTTGAAACGAGACGAAAATTTGTCATTCTAGGATCGGTGAATATTTAGATCTCAGCTAGGCTTGCTGAAAAAGTATCGATATATCGATATTTTGAATTTAATATATCGATATTTTTAACCGATATATATTGATCTGATGTATCGAAATATCGATACAAAATATCCAGCATTGAAAATTGTATCGAAAACGATATTTTTTAAATTCTTATGGCACTGAAGTCACTGATACCCAAAACTGTAGGAGATAGGATCGAACGAAAAAAAGACTATATTGTCTACGACATATTTTTGTTATTTTGTCTAATAAAAAGGAAAACTGGTAAAATACTTTCGTGTTTAGTGCGATTACGATACATCGATATATTTTTCATTTTAGACATCCCTAATCTCACCTGGCCATAATGGAAACGTTCAACTCAGAAGAAACTAGTGATAACCATGATATGTTAGTCTCGCTTCGTTGTATTATTTCCTCACGAATGTATACTCACATTTCTTTTCCGTTATCCTTGCGTGGACGACCACGCTTGCGTGCCGGCGGCGGAGTCGGAATCGCCACAGGTGCGGGAGACTTAGTAGTGTTAGCCTTTACACTGACCCTACGAGGCCGGCCTCGCGTCTATAGTTATTTAAAAAAAAAACAATTGAACGTTGAGTTTTAGGTTATCTAAAAAATAATGACATTTTAACTTAACAACACTTAATAAATATAGTTTCATCTTAAAATGACAACCGGAGGCAAAATAGCTATTTCCAAAAAGCCAATTTCTCAGCAGACCCGGATCTACGATTTTTTGATCATGAGTCTGTGAATACTCGTATCCAACTAATGCATGATTATTTATGTAAGATTAAGTTGCATTTTATGGGTATGGTATGCACGCTTATTTGAATGTATGGTATGGGTGGCGATTGAGCGAGCGGAAAATCAACGGACAGAATAAAGAAGTCGCCAAGATCTGAGCTGATGGGTTAATCACGCGTGTGATTAATGGGCGGGAGCGGCTTTGATATCCAGGGATGAACTCGGTTCAACTTTTTTAATTAGTTTTTTGATATCAAGCATTCTTTTAATGTTCTTTTTAAATAAAATTTAATAACAAATTTCTCAGTGTTTCTAAAACAGAATACATTTGTGTTGATGATGAACCGCTAGAAGATTTGTTAGTTTATCCTGTTTAATTAATGATGTTTGTTGTTTAAAGAGTATTACCCCATTCAAAAACATTTCTTGGAGAACTCTGCTCTTTTAAAATAACGTAGGTTAACGTTAGACTGATCTTTCTACAATGATTTACAAAATGTTACACTCAGTTTCTGAACTGAGAATTTAAAGTTAAAAACGTTTCAAAGTAACGTCACTTAAACAGGTTTTCGTTTCAGATTTTAGTTTTTTTCTATGATCAGTTGATAGCAGTTTGATAAAACTAGGACTTTTTGACTTGTGAAAAATTAAGTTATTTAGAAAAATCAGTTGTGATTTTCTACTTTTTTGTTAAATACAATTTAGAAATTAAGAAATCGGTCATTGACCGATTAAAAACTTGTTCCTTAGTAAGAAAAAAGAAAGAAAGAAGTTTATTGACCGCATCTGTGCATGTACAATAATAATGTGTAAGAGAAAAAAAAAACCAAACATTTCCATGAAATAAAAACAGAGCGGTCAACATGGACGCTATCTCAGCGATGGGCCATGTGCCACTTCGACATGGTCAAAATGACAAAGAGGCGGTTTTATTCTAATAGGGCCTTAGTACGTCCCCAAAACAGTTAAGAGTTGAAAACACTTATTTATTTACAAAATCTTCATAATTGAATAACTCCGAAACTATTTTACCTAACATACCATTTTTTACATCGTTTAAAAGACTAAAATAACGTAGAGTATCGCTCGAACTGTTCCACGAGGTATAGTTAAAGAAGAATGTCAAACGGATGAACGGAGGGTGTGGGGAGTGAGGGAGGGAGGGGGGTTCAGAAGGGCGCAACGATCACTTTTTGTCTTGGTTGGATAAAATTGTAGATCCGGACCTGCACCATGGTATTTCTATTATGATATACACAATCAATACAATGATTAATAATAATGTTATTACCTCTGTTCTTTCAACTTCTTTGTATTCTTCATCAATGTCAGAGTCCTCATCTGATGAATCTTGTGATCTAAAATAATAATAATAAAAAAATAATTATAGAAATATTTGTATCTTAATACCAAAAACAACAAGGTATAGTTTCTGATACTTACTTATCTTGAATCATTTTAGCGTAATCCCTTATTTTCGAGGGTCTCGTGGACCGTCGCACGCTATCTTCTGACGCGCTTTTACTGCCAGTGCCATTCTTTATAAAACTCTGTAAAAATAAAATATGCAAGATACAAAACCAATATTGTTTAGTCAAAGACCTTAATGAGGACTCGTGTGTACAGAATATCTATGACATCGGTATATAAATATACAGCGTGAGACACTTTACTGAGAACTACAGACTAAAAACCTCACGTCTCAATGTTTAGTTTCATATATAACCAGTTGCACAAATGTCCATTAAAATTGACATTTGTTTAAAGTGGCATTACCCATACAAATTTGACATTTATTAGAGCTTAAAGGCGTCATTAACCTTAAATGACGTTTGTGCGACTGACCGATAGAGCAGTTGACTTTACTGAGAACTACAAACTAAAAAACTCAAGTCTCAATGTTTTGTTTCATATACAACCAGTTGCACAAATGTCCATTATAATTGACATTTGTTTAAAGTGGCATTACCCATACAAATTTGACATTTATTAGAGCTTAAAGGCGTCATTTAACCTTAAATGACGTCTGTGCAATTGGCCGATAGAGTAGTGGAACCTTTTACTTTCCTATTAAGTTATTTTTGATATGCTTCCATGGACGACTACTGGTTCGTGGATCACTAATATAAGTCAAATCATAACTCATGTTTTATTATCAAAGATGATACATGAAACTCATGTTTTATTATCAAAAATGATAAATAAAACATGAGTTATGAGTTAAATAATTCAAAAGAAAATAATATAATGTTATTGGACAAATATTAGCTATTCGTAAACAATGAAGTTATTTTGTCCTATGTAAATTTGTTCTAACATCAAAGTTACCTTTGGAGATTCCTTATCTTTCTCTTCTTTGGTTACGACGTTCTGTCTAGTCTCCTTAGCATCTTTGGGTTCTTTCGGATCCTTAACTTCTTTCGTTTCCTTGATGTCTTTAACGTCCTTAATCTCTTTAGTTTCTTTGATTTCTTTACTTTCTTTCATTTCTTTGTTCTCTTTAGTTTCCTTGATTTCTTTCGTTTCCTTAACGTCTTTTGGTTCCTTATTTTCTTTGGTCACCATACGACGTTCCAATGTTTTCCGTTCGACGACAGACGCCTTGTTCGATGTGATCGACTTCTTTTCTTCTGTTGGTCTGTAATTGTTACTTCTTCAGAAGTTTTATAAAAGAATTAAAATAATTACACGAGAATGATAGTGATAGTAATGATATAAACAGTAAATGCCAATAAACAAATTTCAGAATCAGTTCCCATTAGCGTATAGCGTGCACTCCTGGTAAAATAAAAATAAAACTGAATATAGTATTATAAGTCTACCTTGTTTTAGGAGTGGAAGTATACAACTGTGGTCTTCTATTCCGTAAATTTTCCATGGTTTTCGGTGGGATTTTTGATGCTTCATTTCGTGTGTTAGTCTAAAATAAATATTTTATTTAAAATAAGAGTATAATCACCAAACTATCGTACAACCAACTGTTCTTCGAGTGTAGATTGGGTGAAAAAGATATTGAGAACTTACCCTTTTCAATTCTTGCAATTCCTTTTCTAATAAACGCAAAGACTTGTCACTAGCACCTCCCACGCTGTTCGAGCTCTCCACTTTGTTACCACTTTTTTCTTTTGTTTCTGTAATTAGATTGAAAAATTATGTTTCTATAAAAGAAAATCTCAATACAACCTATATTTAATTAAGCATTTAGAAGCTGGAATGTGAGAAATAATTGCCGTACCGCTAACGGTTTCTACTGCAGTTTGTTGAACTTTGCGTTTCATTTCTTCCGCTTTCCTCAGGATACTAGCAGTCTGAAACATATTTGCTGTTTTAGTTCAAATAATAAAGTTGTTTATTTTTATTAATTGAAAAATAACTTTTTTTAAAAAGAAATATTTCGAACAACTGAATAATATTAAACATTAAAAACTTTATAGGTACATCAATAAATAAAATTGTCAAATCAAAGGATCCGATCTAGCTCCCCTTGCGCGCTGGGAAAAGACAAGTTTAAGATTACCGTTCCCAATTTCAACAAAAGTGCGAACAACGTGAACATATGATACGATCTTCATCTAATGCCTTTTCATTTTGTTCAGCAAAATATATACCTGTAATGAATGATAAAAATAGTTACCAATGTAGGACCCTCCTGATTGGCAGGTTTCGGGACAACCTCCTTGGGAGTTTCTTGTGGAGGTTTCTCGATTATTTCAGTTTTGGTATCGGTTTCTTTCCGCACCATGGCCAAGGTGTCCACCGTGGCCAGTTCTGTGTATGTTGTCTCAGGTTCACTATCTGTACATTTTATATAATAATAAATATAATAAGTGTGTCATATGTTAATTATGAAGTAGTTTTTGTGCTATTCATCAATAAAGAAGGTATTATTTGTAAAACATACACATATGTAACTAAGATATGTCTCGATATATGAAATAGTTTAAAACACAAAGAAATAACTAGTTTGTTTAAAGAACCAATACGTGTTTCCTGTCATAGTTACCTAAATGACATGGCCGGATCCTGCCCAAAGAATCAATTAAAATTAAATTGTAGAGTAATTAGCTCGAGTAGCTCGGTGGCGTAGTGGATAAGCGCCGTGGCCCGCGATCGTAGTCGTTAAGCAACTTTCGCAAGGGTTGGTCACGGGATGGGTGACAAAAAAATTATTATCTTGTGCTACTCCGTGCTTCGGAAGGCACGTTAAGCCGTTGGTCCCGGCTGCATATGCAGTCGTTAATACCCTCCAATCCACATTGGGCCAGCGTGGAGGGTCACGGCCCATCCTCCTTAACCATCCATAAGGAAGGCCTGAGCCCCTGCAGTGGGGACGTAAAAGGGCTGGTGATGATGATGATGTGCTGTATTTATTATCAATTTGTAATCACTACATAAAAAATAAAAATAAACATATGGTGCTGATCACAATTCTCTAGAACATGCAACAGAATATGCCATAAAAATAGTACGTTTATTTTACCAAAGTGTTTACATACATTAGGTGTTGGAATTACCCAAAGAGTAAAATAGTAATAGACCTACCTTTGCAAAATTCACCATTAACTTGCGTTTAGATATACGCATATTATAAACGCAATTACTACTTAATAATGGAATTTAGAGAAAATAGAAAAATACAGCTATCAGAATCGTTTTGTTGTGTTAAATAAAAAAGTAAATGATTTTATGATTATCACAAAAAGGCATTGCATTCGTTTATAATGGAATAAAGAAAGGGAAACTAACCTTCTGATTGAGTGTTATCAGGTTTTTCCTCGGGTTCCGCTTGTTCACCAGGAAGCTACAAAAATTAATTATTTTTATATCTTAAGCGCAGAAGCTTAATCTTTTAAAGTCTGCATGCTCAGGCTAAGACACAACAAGGACCAGACTAGTCTACAATATTTTTCTAATCCATGATACATACCATGAAATTGTCAGTCTTCTTTATTTCAACCACCATTTCACCGTCTTCTTCTTTCACTGAAATTACGTTTCAATGTTTAATTAGCCGAAGATTCGAATCCCTTTAGAGGGACTAGGTTCTAGGAAAGTAATTTATGTCTGTTAAGCTGTATCTAATGATATGTGATACATTAAAAAACCTCTTTGTAAAAAAAAATCGAGATCATTCATAATATTAATTTTTTTTTTTGCTGATTGTAGTCGAATGCATAAAGTTGAAGTAACAACTGCATGCAGTTGAATCGAGGAAGTGCGGCAAATGTAGTAAAACATCGCTTAAAGTAAATATTAGTTATAAGATGTATTTTGAATACTGGTTTTACCATTGATTTCGTTGTCGTCTTCAAATTCATCGCCTTCTAGCTCCGTGGAAGACTCATCTTGACCCAATTCCTAAAAAAGAGAAAAATTAACAATAAATCTAGATGGTAACGAACTCAATAATAAAAAATAAAAAAATATATTCAGTACATACGTCTGCGTGGGCTGTTGTCAAATGATTTTCAAGCTTTTCTTTGGTAGTGAATACCAATTCACATAAATCGCACATGAATTCGATACCTGTATGAGATAAGAATTTACAGTAAATATTATGATTGACAAATAAATTGAAGAAAAAAGTCCATAGCATATATTTTTTTAAATTTTCAGTTGATAAATAGGCAGTGTGGATTATATGAATAAAGAGTAACATATAAACAGAAACTTCAGAAAGTAACACATAACAAAACTAAAATTGAAGTCCATGACGGTAATACAAACCAATAACTTTGTCAGCAAAGAAAGAGTAAATTTAGGTAGATTACTAAAAAGAATAACCAAAGAAACTTTCGTATCTAATTTGATATTTTTTTTTATAAAAAAAAATACACATTCTTTAACATTGTCCGTTTTCCAACTACACTTTTGCCGCTTTCGAATGACATTTCAAGTCAGGAAAGAAACACTAAAGTTCTTGGCTTCTGTAAGACTGTAAAATTGTTTATACATATTAAAAAATTAGGTTCTCACCATTGACATGAGATTTAATATGTGTAGTGACAGCATCGACATTTTCGAATTTCTCCTGACATAGCGGGCATGTGAGGTTCTGCGTGGCGTGTATAGCAGAATGGTATATGAGGTCATCCTGCGTACGGAATGATTGCTCGCACTGTTCGCACCTATAGTCCTGTTGTCCGAATGGGCCACGCGCACTCCGGATTGTCTCCCGATGTTTCAGTCGCAGATGTCTGTTGGTGTAATTGAATTGCACAATCAATTGGTGATTTTGGACGTGTTAAGGAATGTATGATTTTGTTCTGTCTACTCTATTAGATAAGTTTTCTGTGCTATTCCTTGTACCGCTTGCTGCTTTGTATAGATGTATTGTAAGTTGATATAATTAAAATTGGATTTGTATAACAGTTTAGTTGTATACAAGGTACATAATAAAAGCGATAAATTAAACAAACTTTTATCATTTTTTCGAGTATATGAAGATGATGGAAGTGAAGAGATTAAACTTTGAAAGTGTCTGGTGTAATGATATTTAAAATTTTCATTTGCATTTCGACATTGAACGATTGAACAACATTGAACAATTGTCTCTTGTTTGACTAAGAATAAATGTTTGTACCATCTGTACCTACATATTTTATTCTTTGAAAATTGTCAATTTCTAAGAAAATACTTTAATGCTTCTTCTAGTGTACTTTACTTTAATACGATGGCAAAGCGGAGAAATATGGAAAATTACTTCGAAAAGCTCCACTAATAGACAAATTGTGATACTTGGTGCATACAAGCTAAAAACCCACATTGACAGATTAACAGATAATTCTAGAGCCCGAGTTATAGAAGGGTGCAGGGAGGTAGACAGCATCAGCTTATGCCATTAGCACAACAATATGGTATCTTGATTGGGCACCGACCAAGACGATATAAAATAACCTGCACAGTTTTTAGACATTATTCTTCTATAAAATTATTGCAGTGATCGGAGAACAACCAAAAAGTAAACTTTATGAATAAAAAGTTCATAGAGTTTAAAGTTTATTCGTTTGTCGTAACATAGTATTTTTCTATATTTGTAGTAGGTATGTCTTACGTAGAACGAAACACCAATCACAGCACGTGACGTCATTTCTGGGTAAATTGGGAAAATAATTTTAATGATATACTGAATTTTTAACAGGTTATAAGGGTTATTTTTGTGTTAATTATTCGTGTTATTGAATATAAAAATAGCATGAGTTAAGCTTAATATTTTTATTAAAAGCTACATTTTACATATTAGGCCATTGTTTCAGACTTGCATCGTTAGGCCCAAAGCTGTCTCGACTATAGTATTATCTCGACCTCTATCGTGCTTCGGAAGAAATTTTATGCCATTTGACATGGCTGCATTTGCAGTAAGGCCATTATGGCCCATTCCGCCTGTGTTTCTTTTCACAGGGAAGGTCTGTGCCCCCAGAATTTAGGGATATTAATAATCTAATGATGATACAGACACAAATGACAAACATGTAATGAAAGCAAATAGACATACCTTGTATAGTGGTGTGATTTCATGAAGCTCTTATCACAATATTTGCATGGATAAGGTCTTTGTCCAGCATGAGAGCGTACATGACGAGCCAGTTTACTTATTAAAGTGAATTCTGTAAAAAATATACATACATTGGACCGTTATAACTACAATAAAAACACTTTTCTGATACTGCGGCCATATTTCTTAAAACAAATTTTTGATATAATGTGTATATTAATGTAATCCAAGGTATTCAAAATACGTAAGCAATAACCAGGATAAGACAATGAAGTAGTCAACGATATATCAAAAATCGTTTTTAAGATTATTGAGGCTGGTTACTGATATTGTTAGCTTATATATGCGTATGTTCATAGCTTATGTGTTGGTTTCTTATGCCTATATTTTACTCACGCTCTGGACAGTATTCACATCGGAATGTAGGTTTCTTTTCGTGAATAAGATCAATGTGTCTTTGAAGTGTTGCTTTCTCGTGGAATCTGTAAAGAAAATTTGGTTTTCACATTTTGTGAATGCAATAATGTTGATTTAGTTTTCTATTATTATGCTCCGTGATGTAACTGGATTCATTCCGCAGAATATCAGTTTGGTAGGTAGCAGCTGCTTATGTTGAGCTGGGACCATTATAGGCATCGCATAGCATAAGCAAAAGCGACAGTTATTGCTTTTGTAAAATTGAATATAATGCTGTTTTGTTGATACGTGTGTTCAAAATATTTCTTATTTTATTCATAGAACACACATAAATTAAGTTAGAAAAAAAATTCTGTTCTATTTTCAGTTACAAACGAAGTGTGAAATTTTTTTTATGAGATTTTTAGAAATAATTCATGTGTTAAATTCCGGTTTACTATTGATGAAGGCATTGTTGAGCATTCCAAAAGATATTCAGTCGAATTAAGAACTCAACTTGCAAATTAACAAAATATATTTGATAAGGTTTTAAGCGTTATCGACTTAATTTAACATGTGTAATAATATTATAAGGTTGGTTTGTTTTGTGAAAACAATCAAAGTACCTAAGGGGCAGAAAAAAGAAACTATAATTTGTGTCAAAAAAGGTTAATTACACCGTATATAGTACCTACAATTTTCACATATTTGTAAACCCGTAATCACGGATTTCGTCTTGTTGGAAGGATTTTTCGTAAAAGCCAACATCTCAAATTAAGTAAATATGCATCAGGATATCTGGTCTCTAATACTAATGTAATGATTTGAAGTTAAGCTATATCCTTTAAATATCTAACGCTATGTATGGCTTTATAATATTGATTGATTTGTCAATAATTATTATGTTTATTATTATATTAATTATTTATAATATATTTCTTAAGATTTGATATCACATGCTTACTTTTTATCACACATGTGACATGCATGATTGCGTTCCGAATGGCGTACGTGACGACTCTGGTGAGCAACGAGTTCCTCTATAGACAGAAATGTTGCGGGACAATTCGGACACGCGAGCTGTGGTATGTTCGAATGTATTACCTGCGAAATGATTACTTATATGAAAAATTGTTAAAGTCGTCGACAGTTATTGGTATTCCAAGGTACTTTTGGTAGTAATCAGTTATGAAATTAGTCAAAAAACAAAAATTATATTAAAACAAACATACAAACGTAGACTCTCTGATTCCAAACTATAAAATCACATGATCATCGAAATCGAAAAGGAGGACTGAATTAGGTGACCTGAAACGGTATCCGCCAGGGTGACATCATACAGGCAAAAACATTTCTGAATCGTCAGATTAGCCGTAAATAGCTATCTATTAATTTCTTAACAAATCTGTAGATTGCACGGTTCTTGCCCTATTTATATATTTTAATATGAAACAATATGCTCTGTGTCCCTTTTCCTTTCATATCAACGTCAAATTTTTAAATTTTAATTTGATTTTGAGGCAAGAAAACGTGTTTCTCTTTTAGAAAAGTATTTTATGACTTATTAAATTCAAATTGATATTTACAAGTACTTTTTTGGAACAGAGTAGAATATCGTTTAACATTATTTAAATTTAAAGTGCTTTCGAACCTTTTCATGTCGTTTCAGAAGAACCAGCCTTTTGAATTTCCTATCACAAACAACACATTGAAAAGGCATTTCATCGGAGTGCCGCAAATTGTGGACCATCAAATCATACCTCGTGAAGAACTTCCTGAAATAAATTATATTGAATACGGATGATGCCTGGTTGAATAAAAAGAAGAATAAATTAAGATACCTATTTTTTTGCTTTTAGTTACCAAGAAATAACTAAATTTATAGGTATTAATTTTGTGGGGTGGGTCACTATAGAAAAATTTACAAAGGTGTGACGTCATGTGACATTTTAACACAATGTACAGTCGTAATTGTTTGAGTACTCACTAAAATACGTGTTTAATATTTTTCCATCCCTATTGCATCTCATTAAAATAAATAAAAAATAAAACTTATTAAAAAGTATTCCAGAGTTGTTTCATTAATAACCCGTTATAATAAATACATAAACACTATTTAGAGGGACAAAAAGTAGCTTATATGTTAATCCAAGTTTAGAATTATCCATATACCAATTTTCGACAAAATTCGTTCAGCAGTTTTTGTGTGAAGAAGTAATAAACATTCAAATTTACAAATATTAGTAAGAACTAAGATAAGACAACAATTTATAATACTAGCTTTCGCCAGCGGCTTCGCTTGTGTGGACCCTAGGGAAATGTTTAGTGGGATAAAAAGTATCCTATTATCTAAGTCAGCTAATACCCTACCGGTATACCAAATTTCATTAAAATCCGTTCAGTAGTTTCGGCGTGATTGACGGAAAAACATCCAAAGAAACTTTCTCATTTATAATATTAATAGGATCTTAGAAAATCAAAAACTGATTACATTAGCCAGTTATTAGTTTTATTATATCTTTTCAAAATATTGTCCATTCACGTCAATACACCGCTGCATGCGATGGAACCACTGGGAAAAGCACTTTGCCCACTCGTCCTTAGGGGTCTCTTCAATGGCATCGCGATACGCAGCCACCGCTTCTTCAGCATTCATAAACCGCTTTCCTTTAAGTTTTTCTTTAATTTTTGGAAATAAATAAAAATCACAAGGCTCGAGGTCGGGGCTATACGGCGGGTGACCCAGTAATTCAACGTTTGATGTCGCCAAATAGTCGATCGTTCGCTTGGCGGTGTGCGACGAGGCGTTGTCGTGGTGAAGGAGGATCCTACTGCGAGGTCGTTTCTCTCGAACTTTTTCCAAGACAAGTGGCAAACAATTGGTAGTGTACCATTCTGCAGAAACTGTTTTTTGATCCTCTAACACAATTGTTGCAAAATGACCTATCCTTCCAAAGAACGAGGCCACCATTTTTTTTCCCGCACTTCGATCTCTCTTCACTTTAGATGGTACTCCTCGAAAGGAAACACCCACTGAGCAGATTGTCTTTTGGTTTTAGGATCATAACAGTAAATCCAGCTTTCGTCACCTGTTAGTATGTCGAACACAGCATTTGAGTCACCTCCGTTAAATCTTTCAATCATTTTACGACACCAATCCACACGATGGAGTTTTTGAGCCTCAGTCAAATTATGAGGTATCCACCGGGCGCAAAGCTTCCTGACCGCTAAATGTTCGTGGAGGATTTTGTGCACTTGACTCATACCGATGCCTAAGCTTGTCCGAATCTGTTGATAGGTCACTCTTTTGTCAGTCTCTATCATACGCCGCACAACACAGATGTTATCTTCAGTCGTCGCCGTAGAAGGCCGTCCCTCACGTAAATCATCAGTGAGATTAGTGCGACCACGTTTAAACTCATTAAACCAGTTGTAAACAGTCGCACGAGATGGGGCTTCATCGTGAAAGGCCAATCGTAGTCTATCATAACTTTCTTGTTGACTTAAATGACATCGAAAGTCATAAAAAATCATTGCACGAAAATTTTCTCGTGTTAAATTCATGATTTTTTTTTTTTTTTTTTTCTTTATTGAAGCTTTGGGTTAAATTCATGATGACGTGACACAGACAATTTTCAATTTGCCGCCAAATCGTAAAACAAATGACAAATGAATGAAATATATACTCAGTAATATTGGCAAAGAGTTATATTTTCAAATTTTAGAATTATTTTTTTATTATATTGTTTATAAGTGGCCAGTTCTAAGAACTTTCAGTTTGACCCTCGTATAATATTAATAGGATAATAGGATTACTAAATGTGACTAAGATGGATTACCGTTGATTAATTTAAAAAGGGAAGATGCCATTTCATCATGTAAATGGCAACAGAAAATAGGAACGTATAGCAATTTAAAAGGTGAAAATAGTACCATATCCAAACACACTCTTTACTTCATAAAATAATATTTTATGCCATTTTGTAGAAAATGATGTGTATATAAAGATTTCGTACATACTATAGCTATGCCGTTGCTAGACTTACTGTCTCGTTCACACTAATATTTAATGTCATCTTTGCCTCTCACTCGCTTGAGTACCGTAACTAACGCTATATTTGAGTAAACGTTTTGGTTCATGTAGGAGTATGCCGTATCACCTCTTTTTATTTTAATCAAAGCATAACACGATAATATTACTAAATTAAATTTCATTATCCAACAACATTCTAGTTTTATGTACTAGAATCACGTCAGGTTATCACAAATATAAAATTTTCGCAAACGACTTTCAACTCTTATCCTAAATGCATTAAGATTTAAATCAAGTAATGAAAGTTGTCAGATTTGTATAACCTGACGTCTTACTTTAACAATAATAAACATGTTAAAGTACCGGTTAAACAAATAATGAGTTATCATTTTGTAATGGTTGGAAGACGTTATAACTGTTAACTATAACCACCTAAGTTCGCTGGTTAATGTTATGGATTTATAATGCCAAGAGAATTGATGGTGCACTGCATTCCACAGCCAAAGTCAAAGACAGCGTGACAGATATTTCCAAATTTTAACTTTAACTGTAATTAAAGTGCAACCGAGACTGAATGAGCAACTTACGCATCACACTGATCACACTGCTCAGTCCTAATTCTGTGCTTCTGTATCTTATGCAGCGCCAATAATTGTTCCAGAGGATATGTACAGTTACACTCGTCACACGGCCAGCATCCTGCTTTGGTATCCATTAAACCGTTTTCATTATCTGTATAACATCTCATTTTTCATAAGTGTTTTTGATAAATAAAAATAATTATAAAAAAAAAACTTTTTCTATTACAAATCACTCTAATGTAAGCATCATTAAATGAAAAAAATCAAGACTGTCAAACAAAGGTACATTTTTATATTACGAGCTGTAAAACAAGAATTATGTGTCTATTATATATATATTGTTTAACATTAAAATAAAATACTCCATAACTACATACTATAGTAAAATAAAAAGAAACATCATAAGAAACAAAATAAAATCTTACCTTATAACGCTGGTAACTTAAAGAAAATAATTTTCTAATAGAATTTACCCTCCATTTAAAATTCTATAGTTAAAATACCAAGAGTGCCTTAAATCTGCGAGAAATTATGCATGTAAGCAGAATTTAAATGGAGCGTAAACTAATTTACAAAAAAAATTGCTGCAAAACAAAGATATTTCATGATACAACATAGCTATGAACACACGCAGATTGAAGACAATGAAATTAATAAGTCAAAATTAAAAAGAGTCATACTTTATCAGGTGTATGTATTTTCTAATAAAAATAATATTTTAGCTTATCTTTTGGTGTTAATAATGTATGTTTCATAAATGTTTACCTTCAACTGGCTTTTTGTTAGTTTTTTCTGCTTCTACATTGGTTTTGTTACTCGCAACAACCTCGATATCTTTTGGTCCATCACCAATCTGTAAAAAGTGATAAAAATAGTTTAACATTGTTACAAAGAAGAGGTTACCAAAGTCTCTTCATTTTCGGCTTAGCACTGACCAATTAATATTGTATTTTCACTTTAAAGGGGAATACACGCCTATAAAAAATGCCTGACTGAACAAAGACGAATTCTATGTATAATTAAAATAGAATTCATATAAAAAATACCTGAATGGACAAAGATGAATTCTATATATAATTAAATTAGAACTCATAATAAAACTATAATAAATTATTTTATCATCCAAAAACTAGGGATAATCTAATTTGAGACATTTTTTAAAAGAAAGGTTAGGTCTAAGTAACAAATAAAGATGAATAATTTATATATAATTTAGCTTAATGTTTAACTCATCATTAATAATCAACAAGAACTGTTATTAAAAAATTCCTGCTGAAATAATTTTAATTGTAGTTTGTATAATAACATTTCAATACATATTCTTTGAATTTTTTTAAAATGGAATATGAAATTTACTTTCTTACATAAAAAAATGAGTAAACATAAACACTCCTCTAAAAAAGTGAGAGTGACATGACATATTTATGCAGTATGGTTGCAGTTCAAATTCTGCTGCTTAATAATCTAACTAATAAATACAAAGATGTAATTTAAAAACATGACATAGCTAAAAGTTAATTCGGTTTATATTATTTCCTATTAATTCAGTGTATAACACAGTTTAAATCCTTTAACCTCATTTCAAAATTGTAAGCATGCTTTTATCACTTTTAATTAAGTGATTATTTTAAAGTAAGTATGGGCAACCTTGGACATGTCGTGGGCCAAACTGTAGTGTGCAAATATGTTCGCCGGCTGCATTTAAAAGTAGTACATTTTAAAGTAGTGTTGTAGTGATCCTAATTTTTTGTGATAGATATCAGACACGACAATATTATTATAAATTAGGTTTTTCAAAATGTCTCGCGGGCTTGATCCGGTCCATGGGCCAGCTCTTGCCCACCTTGGGTTTAAAGTATGGTGAATGAAATTGGTTTAAAGAACAGTCTTTTCCCTAGTTGAACAGACTAAAAGTTGCAAACATAGTTATTTTACTTTTTAAAGATTTTAGCCTTAGTAATGGAATTTGAACAAGTTTTCGTAATTCAGGCGACACATGTACAAACAGTTTTAAATCTCTCAAAATCTTTATACATGTTTCACCCCTCGTCATCTTTATCATCACTGCTTTTCACAGTTTCACAGTGCCAAAACCACAGAGTGGATTTTGCAAGATTTATTGCTGTTTGTACAAGTGAATTTGTTAGCAGACGGTACACAACAGTTTATGTGGATAGTTCGTGTAGAAACTGCTAGGTATTATAATTAGTGTTCTATGTTGACACCATACAAATTTTTTAGTGTTGATTTTAGTGTTCCAATCAGGCAAAGATAATTATATGATTTATATTTGAACCTTAACATCATAAACATCTTCATCATCATCTTCTTCATCACTGTTAGACAGTTCTTGAGATGTGACTTTGACAGTAGTACCACCTTGTACGACAGCTTTCACTACGTGAGGAGTTTTAGCCATTCTCTTGTAACTGCGAAAAACCTACAACATAACATAATTTGTATGTATTATTATTTAAAATATAAAAAAAAAGTAAAGTAAAGTTGGTATCAGTTTATTATTATGAACCGTCTACACTATTCAAACTATAAGTTCTTAATTTCTGAATTGTTGTAGTATTTAAAATTAAAGAATTATAAAGTTAATTTTTGAATATATTTTACTTACATTTGTCAAAGATATAGGCCAATTCATAGATTCTAGGGCAGATCCACTATGAATGTAGTGTAATATCTTTTTATCAGCATTTCGGCATATTTCTTTGAATTCATAGAACAGATCCATGAAAACACTACAACGGTTGCATATGTAGGTGGGCATCTTATCAGAGGGGAAGGCCTGAAAATAATTATAATTATTTTTTGGAAATTTAGGTTTTTTAAAGCTAGTCATAACAATTTATATAATAGATGGCGCTATAAAGAGATGCTTTGTAATGATTTTGTAGAATGTAATAGTTAACAAATTTGAGTTGTATTTGTAATGATACAAATTGCTAGAAGCATTATTTCCAAAATCATCTTTAATATGTAGTAAAGACTTGGAAAGTTGGTTCCATTGAGCATTCCACACAAACATAACGTCAACAGTAGGTGGCGCAGCACAGTGTAACGAATTCATTGTTATTTTTCGTTGTTACAACAAACGATTTATAATGTGGAGAAAATATATTTACCTCGATTGATAGACAAGAAAGAATCTTTAGGGGTAAAGTAACAGAGTTTTTTGGTTTCTGGGCACTGTCGTATAGACTTGCAAGGGAATCGTCTTGAGACAAGCAAAATCTACACATTTTTAAAGCACTTATAGTTTCTTTTCGTTTTTCCATTTTTACTGTTCACTTACACGTTTCACTAGACAAAATAATTTAGATAAAGTAAATTATAGAACTCTAACCTATGGAGTACGTAAAAACGAAACAGTCCACTAGCGCCAATTGATCAAAGGACGCCAACAAACAAACGCGAAATACAGCGGCCTCTGGCGAGTAGTAGACAAAATTATAAGACAGCGACATCTATTGTTTAACTGAAAGCATAACTTCTCATCTTATTTCCTAGTCGCTAGATGTCCCTATAGTTTTCAGTCTGACAACTATATCCAAGAAGACAAAATATTTTTACCTATTTTTCTTTTCTCTATGACTACCATAATATTTTTAGAAGAAAACAAAACAAGACAAATAGATTTTTTTTATATATTTTAAGAATACATTAACTTACCTTCTACATCATTGTATTAATGATATATGTGACGAATCTTTAATAAAACTCTTTTTTTCGATGATAGTGTACCTTTATAAAAGCGATATCACTAACCAGGTAAGGTCAACAGCACGTCAGGTTAACAAAATTGACAAATTTCTCCAGTCCAGCGTGGACATCCATAGTGAAACTGCTCCCGATAGGAACCTATATCGTGACGTATGTAGACGGAATAGTAGTTGATTAATGTGGATAATTAAGGAGCTATTAAAAAAATTGTTCTGTATATGTATGTACCTATATCTAATTTAGAATGCAAGCTCAAACAACTCCCAGTTATTAGTTATTACTCATTGAAATGAAAACATTTGCGTTGAAGCATTATCAAATATTTTGAATGAAGCTGTTTTTAATGAAGAGCTGTTTCCTATCAAAGAAAATAATTATTCAATTGTTAGTTCAGGGGGAATAGAGAATAAATAACTATTGATTTTATGGATAAATTGACCCCTTTATCTTTCTTCTTGGGTTTCTGTGCTCAACACTGCACAGCCCTAGCAGTCTTCTTATAACCAATCTGGTTTAAATAGACCATTTCTCTTCGTGAAATAAAAAGTATAATACATCATTTTAAAGATTCTGCTCCGAGGAAGATGGAATTGCGCATGTAAGTGACAATCGGTCGGTAAAGGTATGTTTCTTGTCAACATGAAAGTGTTGTGTATGCCTATCAACATACACAACACTATCATGTTGACAAGAAACATACCGCTATCATGAAAGTCACAAGTGGTGTTGCTCATTCTCAAGCCAACTGAGGCCATCTCATATCGACCGATAGTTTTATCTTCTGCGCTATGTAGAAAGTCTGGGTAAACTATTGAGAACGCAATATGTTTTACTTTACCCTTTTAAAATTTAAGTATTCTAACAACTGACTCATATACAACGAATCTGTAGTGGCTGCTTTTTTGGACATCAATTCTGCTTCTGATAATGTGTCAATGTTACCTAATTTATTATTAACATATTAGAAAAACGTAATTTGATTGTTAGTTTAACAAGTAACTCAGAATTCAAAAGGACTGTATAGAAAGGGTTAGGTACTCCAAGGGTTCGTCTTTAACCCTTTGTTGTACAGTATCCTATGCACATGGTTTAGATTTCTGCTTTGGTAATCACATAAAGCTTTTACAATACGCTGATGATTTGTTATTATATTCCACAAGCTGATCTGTTGAAATAGCTGCGTCATATATTGAGTTGACTTTGACTTCATTATTCTCCCCGAGGCGCGACCGCCTAACTAATGAACGTAGCCGTAGTCGTAACTATAAACTACGCTTTATCGATATTTCTCATGAATCTGTTTATATTCTTTTAAAAATTAATTGTTTTTTTTTATTTATATATTTACTCAAACATTTTGGTGTGTTTTTTATTTATTTTATTTTTACTTATTTATGTATTATGAACATTACAGAAGGTACATTTGTTATTTTCGTCAAACTGCACAGTAGTTTGTTGGCGAAGATTAGCACTAATTTTCTTTTTTTGACGCTGAGAAATGCATTACTGCATACCCGCTTTACCCAGCGCAGGCTTCACGGGTTATGTGGGGCTCCCCCCTGCGGACCCACCCCTGAATGGGGCTAGTCAAATAGCAGAGGTATAGCCACTAAAACTCAGCGATGTTCCTCGCATGGAAGGCGATGCACGGGATCGGCCCGGTTGCCATACACCGCGACGTATATACCTACCTACTACTACATACATTTGCAAAGATATAATACACCAATTAGGGACTTAGAATAACATTGCATTTACTATCCAGTTAACTTGTTATTCAGTAAGACATCTTTTGATTTTCTTTTAATAATAGGTTTACAAAACTTTATATCTTCTCTTAACAACCTTATTTTTTTACACAATATATTTAATGTATTTTTATAGATTAAATTAAGCGAATATTATGTTTAAGTGATGCAATATTTAGCCGCTTAGATTACATAAAGCCAACCGTTACTTTTGTTTCAGACACATTTTAATGGGTTATAGTATACGTATGTCTTATTTTAATAATATAATTTCTTTATTTCATGTATATAACTGTAATCTGTTATGTGTTGTAATATTAAATAAATATACGTAAACTGTGGCAAATTCTATCCTTTCTTACTGGCATATAGACAAACTGAGCCAATATAATTAAAAAGACACAGAGTTAATATACATATTAATGAACTACTATTACTACCATCTACAATATAGCATATCATGATATAGGTACCTATCGGGATCAGTTTCACTATGGAAGTACGGCTACACCCTTTGTAATATAGTGAAATCTATTTTTTAGAAAAATGTAGAAAAAAAAAATCCGGGCAAACAACTGAACGATTATTTTAATGGGATTGCAGGGACATTGTTTGCCGGGGGCTAAAGAGGAGGGAGTGTCATTACTTTTGAGAAAATTCAATAATAATTAAAGTATGGAAGCTTGATAAGTTGTGTTAATTAAGTCGTTTGACCTCATTAATTATATTCGTTCGTCTTACAGGGTAAATATTATTATTTACCTATTTCCTAATTATTATCTAATTTTCGTGGGATTTGTAAATACTTGCGAATGTTAAAAGGTAATGAGGATGATATTTTTGTTATATTTACACTACTATTTGATTGAAAAAAAAAACCGGCGAAGTGCAAATATGACACACGCACGAAGGGTTCCGTAAAAAAAAATCACTTTAGTTGTATGTGAGCTCCATAAATGTTTATTTTGTTCTGTATTTTATATTTAGGTATTTATGGAAAATAATTATTATGAATCTACAAATTCCAGAAACTATATAAAGGCGGATGGTTAGAAGCATCGACATAAAATCCCGAATTCAAATGAAGTTTATTTAATTTTAACCATTTTTATAGTTTTAAGAATATTTTTTTCCATCTCTATATAGTCGACTTTTAAATTATTTCTTTTTCTACCAGTCCTTAGACTTGAAATGTTATATGTGTTAAAGTAGGTATATATTTTCCTCACGCATGTGACTGGAAAATATCATCTGTATATTAGATATAATATAAATAAATAAAAGGTTATCATATAGTAAAAGATCAAATGCATGGCTATATCACGTGAGCTGAGATCATCACGTTTTTGCGATATGGATGGCAATAGGAGAGTGTTTTATATAAGTTGCATATTCTTTATATATCTTCTTCGTTTTTTACGCTATCATTATTCATAGAAGAAAATATATCAATATGTTTAATAAAAACGTTTCATGCACAAACTTACTAACGCAAACTAAATGGCTTACTCTCAATTTCATAAGCAACCTTTAGGGCTTAATGTCGATTTAAGGCTCAATTTAAAAATAACCATAAAGGATTTTAGTATATTGTCTACTAATGTATCTTACATAACAATTAATTACATTAAATATATGAGAATACAGCGCTTCTTGCGGTGGGTAGCAGAACTAATTAATATTTCCATCAAAAATGTTAGATGTTCATTAAATAATAAAATCTATTTGAAATAAACTCTTATTAAAACATTACAATAGCCAATGAATGAAAATCGCGTTAAAATAAAACTGGTAAAAAAATACAAAGATCCCTAAAATAATCTATTCAACATTTGGTCGATTATGTCAAGTTTATGTTTAAATGCCAAAGCGCAACATAAGTAATTCCGATAAGTGAAGATAAAGAGACATTGTTTTGTTCTGTATCTATTTAAATAATATATAGGTACCTATTTATTTATTGTAACGTTAATACTGCTGCTATCTTAAACTTCGATGTAGATTATCAACCAGAACAAATGAGTGTTGAATGTATAAATTAAATGTAAGTTAGACCAGTTGCACGGATACACGCATGGACTCCGTCTACACGAACGGACATGGAGAACGAAAATAATAATAATTGTTTAAGTGATAGTGACAAAGTTGTCGAAAACAATGTCAGTGAAAATGAACAAAATAATGGAGACGCACCAAAAATCAAAAGACATTCCAGTGTTTCTTCTGATAGCAGCAGTGCTACAGAAAAAAGATCGAGAATATCGAATTTGTAAGAGTTCTTTTTTCATTAAATTTATTTATTAATAGTGAGTATGACTTTAAGAAAGTTCATATGAACGATTAGAAATTATATGAATTTTCTTTTACGACAAATAGAATAGGGCCTCCTAGATACTTGCAGTTAAAATAATGTATATATTTTTAATTCGTATGAATTAATTGGATTGTGATAATTTTTATTTATCTCCGAGTAGATAAGTATTTTTTTAATAATTATTATTATAGGATATATTTAGTTTTAAAAAGGATGTCTACTTTTTATTTAGAAAAAATTATAAACTGGTACATTTTCTCTACTTAATTAATACCTTGTTTTTTTTAGTACGTAGTTTCGATTCCCAGTCAGGTTGATTCATAAATTTAATTTTTCTCTATTATCTGATTGTGTGATAATAGAGAAAAATTAAATTTCTAATGAGTTCTGTGCGATATTCCTTGTTTCAGCCTAATATTTAATAAACAAGATAGCTTTTTTGCGTCATTTATTAAATGTACCTAAACGGATTGAAATGTTAGGTAGGCTGAAGTGCCTCTTCAGAAATCACTTCAGTAATTTATAAATAACATTATCAAATCTCATTTTTGATAACAGATTTCGCTCAAGCGTAAGAAGTAAAAAGAGCAAGAATCCTCAATCGGTCGCTACATCAAATGGGGACTACGATAAAGCTATCGTTCCTGTCACTGAAAAGGTATTATCTTAGTTTGTGGGTTCGTATCCCGTTGAGGCCAATGGGTCAACTTGATAAGAAATTACATTCGCGTCATAGTTGTAAATTTATAAGCGATTGTATGTTTATCTTTATTCTCAGTTTGTAATCACTGGACGATAAATTTGTCATTCTAAAATCAAATATAATTTTTAATAAATTCCAAAAGTATTGAAAAATAATAAATTATGATTGTAACTTATTTCTAATATTGTCATTATATGTAGTGGTTATCAACTCGTTATCAATTTGTTCGCCTCCTTTGTGGACAATGACTTTTGTTTGATTTTTGTTCTACACAAAGAATAACTGCTGTTTTCATAAGTTTATGTATGCGTGTTTAAAGTTCAATTGAAGGTGGAACTAAACATGTGTTTATTAAAAAAATTGTTGCAGAAGAGTCCTTTATTTACACATAAAGATTGGACTACGATAGTTAGTGTGGTTTTGGTTGAAGCAAAAGGTCTCCCTGTGCCACCGACAGATGGCACATCTCACAAGTTATATTGTAAATTGAGGTGAGTGCCGATTTTGTGACTCCGCAATTTGTTAGGGTAGATCCATCACATAAAAAAAATATTGTGTCAATTATATGCTATAAACGACTTATCGAATTGTGACGTCATAATTCAATGAATTTTCGCCACACTCTTCCCTTCCCGGCTTAATTTGTTTATATCTCAGAATTATTGCAATATTTTACTTTACTAAGTCAATAGTAAGTAATGGACAACAATGGATATTATCCTTTTTATCGCTATCTTGAGGATATCTATTTTTCATATCGACCATCTCGCCAGTAACAAATATTGTTTTTTAAAGTATTTATATTATGATATTTGAGATACTTTGATTACGCTTACTCTGCTATGTTATTCTATTAAAAAATAGCCTCGAACTCAACATATACAATTAAAACCTTTTGAAATAGGTTTTATTTATTTGCGTTCGACGTCAAGTTGGAGTTGGTTTTTACAATTGAATAGGACTGCCATTCATTTTTGTCTCCAAAAAAAGATTGAATAGATGCGATAAGCTCTGTTAAATAACGATAGTCGATACAATTATTATAATATGCTTGTGCTCCGTTTCAATTTAATAGAAAAAGTATATGAACACGATGAAAATAGTCGTTGTAATTGATCATTCTATTCAAAAAACCTTTTTCAAAAAAAAAAATGTTCAGCTGATAAACTGTTCTATTAAATCTTGACTATTATATAATTTTTGCGTGAAATAATCAATTTTGTCTTTCTTAATGTAGGAATCAAAAATAGATTAATGATTTTGACTTATTTAATAGTGCAGAAGAACTATTATCATAGTTTGTAAAGGCTTTGCTTTTTATAAATTGTGCTTATTTTTTAATTAAACCCAAAATTGCAGAGAATAATTTTCATAAAATGCGCGGAGTCAATTTATGAGCTCCTGGATTGAGCTTCTAGTTTTAACAAATTAAATATGTAAAAAGATAGAAGTTTGTAGAAATATAAAAAAAAAGAAAAAATCTTATTATTTACCAACAATCTTCGAAAATAAGTTAACTGTGAATTTATCCTATTTAATCTGATTCATTGAACTAATATGTGCCAGAATAATAATTATTTATTAGGCATATTTTCTGCATTTAAATATGATAAATATCTTTCCGCTCAATGTGATCAATGCCGCATGTGGTACAAAGTATCAAGACCAAAGTACGTACATGAGACAATGCCTTTGTGTGAGCAGTGCGGTGCAGTGCTCTACACGCATCAATAATTACTAACTACAATGTGACGTCACTTAAAATTTACTATTGTTTTTAATCTACACGATATAAATATTTTTCTTTCATACTATGACGAGTTTATTTAAATATTGCACATTAGTTTGCATTTTTTACTCTAATCGTTGCAACTAACTTAAGTCGAATACCATTTCTGCTGTGTATTTCTTAGTTAAATAAAAACTTAACACTAGACTCCTTATTATATACTTGCTTTTATTGAGATTTTTAAGAGTTTAATATTTTTAAATAATCCTAAGGATTTCGAATATGAATGTCTTTGTTTTACTTTTTTGGAAAACGTAAAGAAAATGGTGGGTTTGGATAGTCGATTATCATACTAAAATATTGTGACCACTTCAGCCATTGAAAATACCGAGTATTATTATAATAATATGGGTTATCTACAACTTATTTTGTCTTAATTTTATAGTTATACATGAAATGTATCTAAAAATATTAAAAAAAACATTCATATAATATTCTATTTATATAATAAGTTAAAATCTAAAAAAAATCAAATTTAAAAATTTTCCGCAACAACGCCACTTCTGTCATGGCGTCACGGCACTCTGAAACGAATATCGTTCTATGAATGTTATATATAAATATAATAATCATAAATGTGTAATTATTACTAATTATCGATAAATATACTATATATTAAACACTACCAGAAAACAAAATGTTTTTATTTTGGTTTTGTTTGCATGTCATTTTACTTATATTCTGAAAGTATACGAGGTTTTTCAAAAAATTAGACTATTATATCATAATTATATATCACAATCTTGGTCATCTAATTGGGTATAATCTATATACATATACATTAAGAGAGGATTTTTGGATTTTTGTAAATCCCACCTCGAAGAGGCTAAATTAGGGGACTAATAAAGTTTGTATGAAACTTTGTTACTACAAGTGCTCAGAGTTTCAAATTTTGCATACGGGTTCTCTTTAGGACGTAGTTGCTCACTAAAACTGGATTTTACGAAATTTGACCTTGAAGTTTGAAGGGGGTAAATTTGAGGATGAAAGTTTTTATGGAGTTTTCTCATTTCTGGACTTAAGTCGCGGGTAAAAGATAGTTGTTTATAAAACATTTTCGATTAAAATTAATAAAGTCAACTATATTCAAATTCACGTCATGGCTATATATTCTCTTTAAGAATCCTTTAAGTAGAAACAACTAAAATACGTTAATTTATAATTGTCTCACATCAATCTTACATTGATCAGTCAGTTTACCGTAACAGCAATTGTTTCATTATTTAAACAATTGCTGTTCTACGGTAACAGTTTTCTTGTACTTTGGTTTCAAAAACAATGTATTATATTAGGCACCACTACCTTACATCTTTTATTATCCTAATGTTATTAACCTTGCGCATCATAAACTTTAGGTACTTGCGTTTTTGTTCTTTGCAATACTCAACACAAAGGTTTTAAATAAAACCAATTTCGGGGTCAGTTAGTTTGATAAGGGGCTTTATTTACGCAATAAAGTACAGATTGCAAATGAATATATATTTCTAATCAATTATAGTTGTTGTTCGTACAACATGATCGATGTCATAGTTCGCTAGGTTTCTTCCGTTTTCAACAATATGCTTTACATTTTATAATACGTAGTTGTATTGCTATTCCGTTAGGAGTCGTCCAATAACTACGTGATGCTTTTTTCAACATTTTTTAACCAATCACCAAGGGGGAGGCCTTGGTGATGGAAAACATTTTAATTTTTGACGTCGCTTTTTGGTTTAGTAATCACGCGTTTGAGAATAAAATAAATGCATGTGATATATTACTACACCCCCTGCCCCTCGTGATATTTCCTGTGTTTTGACCACTACCCCTTTCGAGTCTCACGTGATTAATAGACGGCCCCTTATGAAAACAGCCCCAAACTTGACGCTGTTATAGCGTAGAGGTTTAATCAAATAAAACCTACTTCAAATGGTAATTAAAGATCACGTTTATAAAAATACAGCGTCGAGCAAAGTGCTGTCGTATCATTAAGTAGATGTACGATGAAATAAAAACTTATTTATTTAATGGACCACTGTATTTATGGAATGGTTCGACACAGTATTTCTAGGATAGATAAAAAATGTTTTGAAATATGCACATCAAGAACTTTCATCACTTGAAATAGTAGCTTTAATTCTGAATTAAGGCCCCCTTTTACTATGACTACGTTTTTAATTAATTAAATAACAAATAGTTTTTTTTAAAATCAAGCTTTTATTTGTGCGCGCTAAAACGAAAATGAATAGAAAAATTCGAAACATTTAAAGTACTAGCTTCTAAACACGTGTTCAAAATTTCATAGATGTATGTTTGCGCACGAATATCTCACAAACTAGAAGTCGGATTGCAATTACTATTTTTTTGTTTAATTGCTTAGCTTTCAACTTAGGCTTTACTAAAGCTTTGTCAAAATCGGTTTAGTAAAATTTAAGCCACTTATAAAAGGAGTAATAATTTGACAGACTCATAAGAGCGAGTAAAAATATGATGAAAATAGGGGGCCTATATTTACCCGTGTATGAAGTAATTAACCGACTTCAAAAAGAGGTTATCTTTTAACCTGTATGTTTTTAAATATTTAAAAAATGGGATTACCAATTTGGCCTATATGTATGTCATTATGTTGAAATATGACGCAATATTCATATATGTTAGTCTAAATGGGCGTCTGAACACGTGTGCTATATTTTGTAGGTGTTATGTGTGTGTATGTTTGACAACGTTTTTCTAGTAAATTAGACATTTGGATTGAAATTATACTTTTTTTGTTTGAATAACTATTTTCAACTTAGGAAACTAATAACATAAGAGAAAACTTACTAACTATCTTTAGAAACAAACTGTTACGAGAATAGTAGGTTAGGTTAGGTTAGCATTGCGACCCCAATAAAACAAAGTGCTTCAAGAATAGTGGGTTAGGTTAGAACTGCTACCATGACAGAAAGAAATATCCGGTAAATATAAGTAATCAGATATTTTTAAGAAAAATATCATGTATGGTAAGAGAAAAAAAATCTGATAGGTCTGTTTCTTTTTTCTAATGAACCCGGCTGGCACTGACCTTTAAAATTGTTGTATCCACTTTTCGGGTTTCTATTTTATTGAAGATTAAATTTTGTGGTATTATTTCTCTCTTTTTAGTCGTTTCTCTTTATTTTCTTAAAGTCGGTTTTCTTTTAATTGTTTGTTGCTTGTTTGTTGCATTTGTGATATCATCCTAATGTCAAGTGCAAGGCACCGCATAACGCATGTCATAACATTAGGCATTGTTTAAATGATATCATTCGGTGGTTTCTAGTCATCGGAGAAATACATTTCCACCTCAGGCGCCTTTTACGAGTACTCTGAAAACTCGCAGGATTAGTTAGTATTAGTTTAGTCTGTAGGTTAGTGTAGTACAAGCGAACGAAGTTGCTATTTTTGTTCAAAGTCGTAATACTTAATCATTTGTATAGATGGGTAAATATTTTGTTGTGAAGTGTGTCGCGATAACGAATTAAAATACGTATTTTAATTAGGTAATGACACCCAGTTACAAATAGATAATGCTGCCAATGACATTGGTTGAAGAATTAATGAAATAAACAATGGGCTTAGGTAAATTTTAAATCAAATAAATCGATTTTCATAAAAGGTTCCAGGTCATAAGTTTTATTATTATGATTTGAATGTTAATAATTTACACTAAAATGATAAAGAATAAGATTTAATTTTTATTTGTAATGTATAACTGTACTTGAAAACTAACTATTAAACTATTATACTTATTTTAAAATATATATATTTTTCTCAAATTCCTTTTTTTATTAGAACAATACGGGATACGAGATAGAAAACAATACGAGAAACCTCGTATTGTTTTTTGGAAAAAAAACCGTTCACATAAATATATATTTTGAATTTGTTAAATGGATTTGGAACATTCAAAATTTTTCATTTTCATATGTATTTGCATAATATTACGAAATATCACAATCAAAATCGCAAATTTCAGTTGAATTTTACCTAATAGTAAACTACCTTAAAGGTAAAACAGGAATAAAAGAAAATGTGGAAGCTCTTCATTAGTCAGGGTGCAAAGTATAGAACTCAATGTTCTTGATATCAATAGAAAATCCGGTTCAAACGTTATCATCAGATTATTATCAATATATCCTATTAGATATAATTATGTTACTATCTTATGATTACCTAAAGATTAAGTGCGTATGCATAAATAATCGAACAATTATAATTTTTCAGTTTATGGACGGACCGGCCCCGGCATTGTCATTAAAAATAAATGTGTATGCAAAATTTCAGCTCAATTAAAAACCGCGAATCAAATTGGGTTTGCAAGATTTGATCCACACTTAAATAGCACGGCAATTAAAAGCACAAATCATGTTTTTTATATAAAACTATTATCTGTATTCTGAACATAGATTTATAGGTATCTTTTCTAAATATACATAAATGAATATAATACTATTATAATCTATCTATGACGCGAACAGTTTATTCGTACATCGTAATCTTGTTTGTTGGTCGTGGCCTCGTGGGTCAATTGTTATTTTTCATATAAATACCTACATATTATAAGAGCAAAGGTTCTTAACTAAAAGTATAGTTAATTAAACCGCAATTCATAGATGCAGTTGTTTTAAGATTTCCTTCGTAAATTATTATTTATAAATCGTCAATAAGTCTAGTGAATTCGCGAGTGGTTTACTTATTGGTTTGGTTTATTTGAAACTAGCTTTTGCCCGCGACTTCGTCCGCGTGGTATAGTTACTTTGGGCATCATATATTTTTCAAAAACGCTGTTTTTTTCGAGTTGATGAAATTTCCTTGATCTTTAAGTTCGAAGATACTACAACAAAAAAATAACAAATATTCAATCTATTTTAGCACTTTATCTTTGAAAACTTTAGAGATATTCATCCAATCCAATGCAATTTGAAATACAGATGGAAAAACAGTTCTGAAGTTTACACACACTTAATCGAAATCATAATCTATGCTAAAAAAAATATTAGCTGAAATAGCTTGTTTATTGTCCGGAAGCTGTACGGAAGCGCTAAGATGATTAGAGATCTTGTAGAGCTGACTCAAGAGCACGCCACGTGAAATTTTATAAATTTAATTTACTTAAATTGGTTGTTTATTCGATATTTATATATGATCACTTACTCTTAGCCACATCATGAAGAAGTCATACTATCAGCCGCCCATATTGTTAAACGCAAATCATTCATGGATCTGGCCAGGCCACATCATGATGTGGGCAGCGAGATTTTTCCATTTCATAAAATACAAACATTACATAAAATGGCTTTCCGCATCATGAATTGGTCAACTATACGTTCTGGCCACGACATATACATATACTTGGAAATCTATACTAAGGTGCTTACATAATATGAATGAAAAATGTAATAAAATAGGATTTGTGAAAATTATCAACTTGAAAATCTTAGGTTAAGATCTAGCAATACTTATCCTCAATAAGTCAATTATTGATAAAATGAAAAACAAATAATTTCAATTTCTTTAATCTAAACTTGGAGCAACATTTTAATGTTTTGATTTAAAGCCTGAGCAAAGTTCTTTGATCAAAATAATAGCGTGATTTAGAATATACTCGCCATCAGCTCGCTGTAAAATTTATTCTAGGTGAATTTTCTAGGTAAAAAAATCTGCGATTTAGAATTCATTGAACGCCATCTAGTGTAGTTCATACATATATACGATATAAAAATAATTTTTCTTTCGTTAACAAAATTACTTGAATTTGTACATTTTTATCCATTAAAATTTCAAAAATGTAATATTTACTCAAATACCAATTTTCATCGCTATACAATAAAACATTTTGTAAATAATATTAGGTAAATTTATTTCAATGACAAATCAGATTGTAAACAATGGTTGCTATGGTAACATTTTGGTTCCCCCATTAAATCTTTCACACCCATTTTTATCTCTTTAAGTGCTAGTTTTCGGCATAAAATATAACCTATTACCCTACCTACCCTAGTTATAAACTACCCAAATACAAATTTTCATCGACGTAGGTCCATAAACAAAGAAGTTTCATACAAACTTTTTTACCCGTTTTGACCCCCTTTGGGATGGAATTTCCAAAAATCCGTTCTTGGGACACCTCTAAGTATTAAGAGGAATGTTCCCTCCGAATTTCAAGTTTCTACGACCAGCGGTTTAGGCTGTGCGTTGTCTGTCAGTCAGTAAGTCAGGACATCTCCTTTAAATAATAAGGATTACACATTTATTATAGCTCTATTTTTCTAATTGATACAAAATATTTAAGTGCCAATTAAAAAAAAATTGCAGTTGGAAACTTTGGGTACATAATTTCTTATCAAATATATAATGTGGGTTTCAAAAGCGGGGAATTCACTAGACGTGCATGCCCGCCGGACCTCCTTACTGTAAGTCTCTGTAATGGCTGCGTAGGTTCAACGCCAGAGGGACATGTCCATTGTCCATTCTAAAGTAGCGAGGAGTGACAGAGTTGTCCGTGGGTAGGTCCCTCTAGTGAATTCTCCGCTTTATACGTTCATTACAAGACTAACAATTTATATGTTGAGCGGGAGTACATACCACCAAGTATTTTTTTATAAAATACAAATTGTATCTATCTTCTTTTCTTACATTTTATTAAGTCCTCAAACTTTTAAATGTTTTTAGGTTGGGCACGGAGAGTATGAAATCTAAATACGTACCGAACACCCCCCATCCAGAATGGAAGGAATGGTTTCAACTTCGCTTGCACAAGGACAATTTATTGAAGCTATCACTATGGGACAAAGGAAAACAGAAGAATTTTATGGGCAGGTACTACATTCTATTATCGAATAAGAAGCCATTTGGGAACATTGCGAGGTTTTTGGAATAGTGGGAAATTCACGAAAATTGGGAGGTTTATTTTTCATTAAAAATAATATCTTTCTGCCAGTTGTACAGACGTTCATTAAAATTCTCATTAGTTTAAAGCGACTTTACCCATACACATTTGACATTCATTACAGTTTATAGGTGTCATTAAACTTTAAACCAACTGGCCGTTTGTGATTCAATTGAAATGTCTATGTTAATATTTTAAGAGGAAAATTTTTATTGTTTGATTGTTTTCATTCAATGTGCTCCGAAACTAAGGGACATTAAAATATTAGGCAACATATACTCATCGTTAATTATCACCATCTCAAGCCTATTAACGTACCCACTGCTCGGGATCAGGCCTTATAGATGGAATCTGAATAAGGAGAGAGCCATGACCCATAAAGCGGGCCTAGGGCGGATTGGTGGATATTAACGACTGCAGATGCAGTTGCGACTAATGGCTTAACGTGCATTTCGAGGCATAAAGGAGCTCAAAACATAAAATTTTTGGTCACCCATCTTATTACCGACCATTTTGAAAGTTGCTTAAGAATAGTATCACAGACAGAATGCTCTAGCCACTGCGCCATTGAGCCCTAACGTTCATCATTATATAATACTTAGTTTGATTTTCTGGCTTAAGTGCATATGTATATAAATGTAACATTCTAAATAATTTCTTAACCCAGCTCTGCTATTCTGTAATAAAATCAGCCTCGATCTCGACGTCGAGCATAACCCTATTGGTTGTCACAGCATAAAGTTGCAATAACCTTCATTAATTTATGCAGTAGGTTTTACTTAATTGAACCTCTATGCTGTTACAGAGCTGTAGTTGACGACGGTGTCAATAATTATTTTATAACAGACAGCTTTTCGTCAGCGGCTTCTCGGCATAGTCCCTATGGAACTGTTCATTTGGATTTCGATTCATATCATGACACGGATATAATTACAAAGAAAAATTGAATAAACAATGGTTATTATGGTAACGTTTTATTTCCTATACAACCACTACCATTTTCATCCCTTCATTTATTGTTTTTCGGGACAAAATATAGACCTATGTTTACTGTAGATGATAGTAACGTAGCAACCCGTAGGTGAATTTTTAAAATCGGTCCAGTAGTTTGGGAGCCTATTCGTGGCAAACTAACAAACAATCAAATCTTTCCTCTTTATAATATTAGCATAGAATAGCATTGCAGAACGCGATTGCTCAAAACATTAATCGAAAATTAATGTTAATTATTTTCAATTAATGTTTGAGGAGTATTAAAATTGGCAGTAGCCCAGCGAGTCCGTAATTTTATAATTTATTAATTCATCTATTTACAGTACAGTCCTAGATTTAACCCACCTGGAACGTGATCGTACCCACGAGGTGTGGCAGCAGCTGGACGATGGTTTCGGCACTGTACACTTTTCAGTGACTCTGTGCAATGTGAAAGACAATTCTGCGACTGAATCCGACGATGCTTCTCTAACTGAAGGTGTCATACGAACTAAGCATGTTGGTATAAAATTATCTTATAAAAAATTTAGAACAATATTCTTAATAAAAAATAATTAAAAAATCCACTTTGTACCTCAATCACTCACTTTGAGATATGTTTCAGTACAGTATTATGAATGAAAAATTAATCCAGTATAAATAATAATTAGTACAAATTTTCATCTTCATCAAAAGTTTAAATATTTGTAAAAATATTTCTTTCGGCTGTTTGGATGGATTGCCTAAACATTAAAAAAAAAACGCTCTGTAATAGCGAAAAACTAACAAGTGCTTGATTGATTTGACTGTATGGCTTAGTTCCTTCGCCTGTCCCATGGACGAAACTACTACTACAAGTGCTTGAAAAATCCATCAGTCCTGTTATGTCCTGAGTAGGTTAGTGGGTGGAGCAGTCGCCCGGATTACGAAAGGTCATAAATGGCTCGGAACTTTTACTCGGAAGTTCATAATATAAACTCAACATATATAATAAGCCTTTATAACACATATCAAACTATATATATATTAGTAAATATCATCGGTACCCCCTGTCTATACGTTAAGATATTTTAAGCTACACAACGGATTTTCACGGATAGATCAACGGATCACACGCGGGTTATATAGGCTATAGTTTACAAGAGCGAAGGGTGATCAGCTAGTGGAAAATCAGCTCAAATGTAAAATTATAGCAATTGTAATGCGATAATTATAAGAATCTTTGTAATTTGCTATAGCTTTATATCTGAAATAAAATGAAATTCCATTAATTGACATAATACAAATATATTACAATAACAAGATTAACATTTCAAATTCTATGTGGAAGAACTTACTAGTTATAATAAAAATAACTTACTAGTAATATTAGAATGATTGTAGTAATTGCATCATCACGAAATAGTCCTATTAATAAAAATACTTAGGTTTAAATTTCAAATTATCTACATATTTCTATCTTTTTATTTTGATTGTATGATTGATTACAGGCGATACATAATTTGAAGAGCAACTGGAAATTGGTAGGTCAATTGTATGTAAAAGTGATCGGAGCCAGAGGTCTCAGTGGTAAACCTCATGCGTACTGTACCTTGGAATTGGACAACGAAAGAGTTCAGACTCACAGCACCAGCTCCAGCTCAGAACCTGTTTGGAACAAGAGCTATGTGTTGTGAGTATAATATTACAATGCTAGTACATACCAACGTATATTTTTGTCCCTTTTGAGGGTTCGATACTGGAAAAAAGGAAACCTTTTAGGATAATGTTGTGATTATCAGACTGTCTGACGCAGCCGATTTTCTTTCTAACTTATATTTTTATGTCTTTTGTCACATGTTTAACTGTAGTAAGAAACTTGAATATTTCTTTTTCGATAGAAAAAAAAACAAAAAGTTTTCCAACTAAATGTTTTTTTCCGTTTTGGTTCCGCAGTCATTTAAAGTGTACTATATCAGAAAGCGAAAACTTTTTGCATGCAATGAACATATGTATCTCGATGTTTCAATTATTTTTTCACAGTAATGTATACGATGTCACCTCTACCCTGGATCTGAAAGTATACGATAGTTCATTGGTGATGGCGCTGCGGAGTGACTCGTTAGGTAGGGTCTCTATACCCTTATTAAAAATCCAGAACGGAGAGCCTACGTGGTTTGCACTGAAAGATCGGACCAAACGGCACAGCGCTCGCGGCAACTGTCCAAGAGTTCAACTGGAGATGACAATGTTTTGGAATCCAGTAAGTATTATGTGGATGATAAATCGCATTTACAGCAGTTGAAATTGTATTCATAATTATCAGTCATTTTTTACGTCCCACTGCAGGGGCTCAGGCCTTTCTTTTGGATGGTTAATCCATGTTGGTTATGCCATGAGCCTCCACGCTGGCTCAATGGGGATTGTATGGTATTAACGACTGCAGATGCAGCTGTCAACAACGGCTTAACGTGCCTTCCGAAGTAAGGAGCAGCACTAGATAAGAATATTTGGTCACCCACCCCGTGACCGACCCTTGCGAAAGTTGCTTAACTACGACTTTGAAATTGTATTTGTTAGTGTAAACCATAACTTTTTTTCTTAAAACCTACTAAGATCAGAGATGAAGCACAAAATATCTATGGGATCCCTACCGTACCCAAAGGTTGATGACCGATATTTGTTGATATACTTACAAATATTTTTTTTATTCTTGCACTGAATGGGCTCCAAAACTTCTGGACCTATTTTAAAAAAATCTTCTAGTTACGGAAAGTATTGTTGAACGTTATCTTTATTATTTAACCTTGTTTTAGGTGAAAGCTACAGTCAGACTATTCCAACCGCAGGAGGTGAAATATTTGAAGAAACCTCCTAAATTCGATATACCACTAGTCTACAGTAACATGGAATTCATCAGGGACACGTTTCACGCACTTTTCGAGATAAACGAACAATACAAGTAAGTTCATTTTGATTTTGTTTTATATATATATATATATATATCTTATATTAAATATAAATATATGAATAGATAAAGCCCCGGTATTATGGAGTATCAGAGGCAACCGAGGTACAATAATACCCAGACCCAAGACACTATACAAAAGTTTTTTTTTATATAATGACCCGACCGGGTATCGATCCCAGACCTCAAAGATGGCGATACCTTGTAACCGGCGTACGAAATAACTCGGCTACGGAGGTCGTTGTCGTTATGTAAATAGTTACAAATGTGGGATAGACTTTTCAACAGTTAATACTACATAGAATTCTTTTATTGAAAGTTATAACATTTAACTACTTTTTTTTTCAAAGCGTAATATTTTCCAAAGTAGTATCATAAAATTTATTTTATTATATATTTATAAGTTAAAATGGTTAATATTTTTCGAACCTATAACCTAAATCTGTATTTTCACTTGTTTAAAATAATCTTCGGAGATTTTTGAAAATTTTTCTTCTACTTTTATTATGAAAGTTGACTTTGGTTGCTCTGTAGGTAGATTTGCTATTTTTTTCTATTATTATAATCGGTCGGTGCTGTAACTCCTGAAATGATGAACGCAGGACAATAATTAAAACCTATATAGTTACACTATTTTAATGTTATTTTTAACACCTTTGCTCGTAAAGTTGATGTAATTCCACCGGTTTTAAATTTGTAAAGCGGGTCATAAAAAACGCGTATGTTACCAAAGCAAATAGTTAAGTTATAGTCCATACAAATTGCATAACAGTATTATTTGCCATTTCGCGCGCTGTTGCTATTCAAATTTCGAACTAATCGCCGCGCGACGCCAGTCAGTAGGCAGCGCTAGCGCGCTGTTAAAATGGCGGGAAAGCAACAGAGTACATTTACAGATTGAGTTTACTTAATGTTTTCTTTTTCTGTTTCCTCGCAAATGTGTTAAAAAACGTCGTACGATATACGTGCGTATTGGTTATAACATGCGAGGCGGAATTTCAGCCCGAGCCGAAGGTGAGGGCGTAATTGAGCCGAGCATAACGCACTAATATCGTAATGTACTATTATTATATTATTATGCATGTAGCTGTTTGAGGGTAAATATACATATTTTTATTTTACAGACGTTTATTTGAATGGGAAAACAGAGAGTTATCCTTCACGGTACTTGTCTGTTGGCTAGTCTTTTGGTATTACTTCAGACTATGGGCCACACCGCTGTTGCTACTGCTTCCGTTCGTATACTTTTGGATATCACAAACGCAACAAAGTGAGTTGAAGAGCTTTTATATAAAAACGGTTTCTTATGTAGGTTTTAGTCTAAAATGATTTTATAAATCACTAGCTTCGTCTCTAAGCACGCTTCTGTGCTGCCGATTCTATTGGGTTGCATACTCATTTTATCAGCCTTTTAACATTTCCAATAGCCTTTTCTATGGATGGGATGGAATCGAATCCACCACAGACAGACCTCGCCTCTTTAGTTGTACAACACCATTGGCAAATAAATACTCTAATTTAAACTAAAAAAAACTACTTGTTAGTTACAGCAGGATTCTAATAAATACGTATATAACTACTCGTTTCAGATTTTTCATCATTCTTTACATATAATATCTTACAGACTACCAATTTATGGGACATAGTTATGTAAAGTTAATCCATTGATTAATATTTTATTTCGAGTTATGCTAACTCCCAATATAACTGAGTCTAGCTGAATATTTTTATTACTTATTTATTGAAAATGAAATTTAATAAAACCATTATTATAGGTATTTAATATTTTTTTTGCATTAAATAAAATTCATGCTGTGAAACTTAAGTAAACGCTTCATACATTTTCCGTCAAATAATTAAAAATAACATATTTATATCCAGATGTTAAATGCTTTTGTGGCGTGTAATCTACGATGACGAAATAATATTATTATAAACGCATGTACTTTAAAAATTACGTAGTAGTTAGATAGTAAAAAGGTCATATATTTAATTCGAAATGGTATCAATTGGATCCGTTAATCCATTTTTGTAATATTTTAATTTTTCAGCTGAATGGCCGATAACGCGTTCCGTCAATGTTGTCGAAGATAACCCCGATCAACATGATGATGATAAGGTATTATTTGTATTAAAATTCAAACTAATGGCTAAACTTCTGTCCCATTATGATGATGGTTTTTGAATGAATCTTGGCAGTTACACATAAATAGATTAGGTATATTAAAGTAGTTTATAAATCCCTGCGACACACTTCAACACCTATCCACTTTTGCATATACAGATACCTTTAGGACATATACTTATACATAGATACATTATTTCTCAGGTAGATTTTTGAATAATATCAAACTTGTATCTTTTTCGTAATGAATATACGGGGATACATTAAGTTGTAATATTTGTAAATTTGTTACATAGTTGTGAGGTATCGAACCCCCACTCCTCAACTTTAACGCCTATTATATAAGCCCTTTTCTTGATATATTGAAGCAAAAAATACGTATGTAATATTTTTCTATTATCTGATTGACATACTAAATAGAATTACTCTATTTTACCCACGCATCATCCGTAAATAGGTATTATGATTCTTGTTAGTGATTTTAAACGGAAATTTGATTCAGTTTTCAATTGTATATCCATTTTACAGAGCGAAAAGGGATTAACGGGAAGAATTATGGGACTTCAGGAGATGACACTCACCATTACTGGTGGCGTCGAGTACTCAGTATCCTTAGTCGAAAGAGTTCATAAGTAAGTTTATGCTAAAAAAAATGTATTATCTACGTTTCGTTATTTGTCATCGGAATATAGATTTTTAAGCTCTTCTTCGTTATAAGATGACAACAGAGGGCGATTTAATTTAACCACTAGATTACACTTTTAATACATAGTCATTACATATACAAGATTTTCTAGATATTATGATATATTATAATTTAAAAATCATTATCATATTCACAAGCAAATTAATGTTCCCACTACTGGGCTGGCATAGGGAAGGCTGGGCCCTATGGATGCAGTCGAGTCAAATCGAAATGGGAGAATGGGCCAAGATATTATGCACCGCGCGAACCCAATTTTCATAAGTGGGTGTTAACGATTACGTTAACGAGTCTGCCGTAACATCGAGATGATAACATTTTGGTTACCCATCCTATGACTGACCATTGCGAAAGTTGCTTAACTTCCGCATCGTAGACCATGCTAACCTACGGCATTGAGGTACTCTAGTTCAAAAATAAAATTTACTCATTTCAATGTGATGTGTATAGGTACAAATTTGTGTGTGTATAAAAAAAATTTTCTTTTTCAGTTTGGCACGTTTTAAAGTACCGTTCCTGAGTTACCTGACAATGATTCTTCTCGTCGTGTCATCAATAGGATTTTACCTGATTCCATTCAACTATATGATGATGGCGTTTGGTGAGTAATTAGATACGTTACCTGTAGCACAGATCCCATAGTCTAACTATATTGTTCACTTAGTGAATCAAAGCAAATATAATTGTTGCCCTTAAGGTTGAAACGTCAGACCTATTAAATATAGGATACTATGTAAATAGCCGTTGTTTCGGCGACTTCGGCCGCATAAATTCGTCTATGTCACGCGCGTATAATGTAGTTAATGTTAAATTAACATTATAGTAGTTAATGTAAAATTAACTTAGTTTAGCCGTTGGTCCCGGCTGCATTTGCAGTCGTTAATACCCTCCAATCCGCATTGGGCTAGCGTGGAGGGTCATGGCCCATCCTCCTTAACCATCCATAAGGAAGGCCTGAGCCCCTGCAGTGGAGACATAAAAGGGCTGATGATGATGATGATTGTTAATGTATAATGTAGTTTATATTTATTATATTAGCTACTAGCAGTTTTTATGCGAGTTTTCCCCGAGTAAATTATAGCCTATGTCAACCTTCTAAGATGTAGCTTTCTTTTCTGTTCTGTGTAGCTTCTCGTAGGCGTAAGATTTTTTTTAAATCGGTCTAGTAGTTCCGAAGCCTATTCTTTATAATATTTGTATAGATTTAATTCATTGACACGAATCATTTTAATGGCCTCAACATACAACTACTCCTGTAAACATTCTCGAAGCTGATATATAATACCCGAATAGTAATAAGACCTCGTTTTTACAGGTATTTATAAGTTCACGAGGAAGTACCTGAATCCAAATAGAACGTTAAATAATGATCTCTTGGATTTCATAACAAGAGTGCCTGATAATGAAATTCTGGTGAGTGTTAAGTAAAAATTCATTTTATTAAAATAATCGTAAGTTCTTTATAATGGAAATATTTATTGTAGTTTTTTAAGTTAATAAGCGGCGGTTGCACATATAACTGCAGTTAAAGTTAAAGTTAATGTCAAATTTGATAATATCTGTCACGGTAACTTTAAAATTAAAATTTATGATGCAATGTGTTGCACCATACTCTTTCTTGGCATATTGAATCAATAATTTTAACCAGCGAAACTTTATAGTTTACATTTAGGGCCAATTTTTTGATCCGTGGTTAACTCAACCATTTGTCAAAATCTTCGACAATGGTTAAATATCAGAAAAATATGTTTTTTGATTAATAGTTAGCCTAACCAATTGTCAGAATTCCATAATTGGTCAAAAATTTAACCATCACTGGAAGCTAGGTTAAGCAAATGACCAATGGTTAAAAGAACAGATGTACAACTGCGTTTTATTTACTTAGTCCCTTGTTATTATTTTTTACGTTGTTTTTATAACCTACATGATTCCTTAGTGAATTTGGACATTAGTTATTTTTGAGATTTCGTTTTATGATGCAATTTCATAGGAAATTATTCATTGTAAGTTTTAGTTATTGAAAATAATTTATATGTTTGTCTTGATCATCCTTAGTTTATTTGTACTATATAAAATAATTTGTTTTCTTGTTTCCACGGCCATATGCCAAATTATTCAATTATTAAAAATCTTATAAAATCCACGAATAGACAGTACAGAAGGTAACTATGCCTTCAGTATATAAAATATATATTCCTCGATTTATTTTCCAACATTACAATCCCACCTTGGATACTAGATTCTATATTATCTTCACGTATTTCTCTATAAGATAATTAAAAAACAAATATATGCTTTTTATAAAAAAGTAAAGTTTAAAGTAACTGGAAAAAAAAATATCTTTCTTGCTTTCTAACATTATTAAAGAAATTGCCTTTAAAAATATTTCCTGAAAAATAACACATAGTGCACACAATAGAACAACCATAAACATCCGCACTGTTTGGTAATTTATAGATTTCTTTTGTCTATGTGATGGAACAAAACCCTAATGTCATAAGTGGTACATAGTTCGCTCCGTTCATTCAAACCGTTAATGTTGTCACCCAGAAAATAATTACCCATGTCGATGTTTAGCGAAAGAACGTCTCATTGTGCTAGCAACAAATTGACCAGTGGTTAAATTTGGCTATGGTTTAATTTGGTATCAAAAACGAAATAGCGAGTTAACAACTTGTTAATGTTTTATATAGTCAAGTTAACAAATGGTGACATGACATTTGATTACGGATCAAAAAACTGGCCCTTAAAGTTATGACGTCAACTAACCATAGCCAAATGATAACTCATTATTATTTGCTTAACAGCGGTACTTTAACAAGTAGTTGGTGCAACTTGCGACAAATAAAGTGCAACACACTTATTGTTTTACAATGCCAAGAAAGAGCATGATACTACGAGTTCCAGAGTAAATGTAAAAGTTATGATATAACCAAGACTAGTAGTTAATAAAATGCAGAGGTCACTATGAAATCAGCGATGATATTCTATAAAAGTACAGTCGCATAGATTTGTCGTAGTACTTGTGATTTTAAACTTGATTACCTGATAAATAACTCTCTTTATCTCTGGCCTGCTTAAACTGACCGGCGGTAATAAACTCAGTGATCAAATGGCTTTTTTACCTATTTTAAAGTGTTGCCGTAACATAGAGGTATGCTTTTCACTATCCGGGCTGATTAGTATAATAGTAACTTTTTCTCGCAGTAAATTTGTATATGTTTGATTGGAATTTTAGTTTATAATTTACTACTCAAGTTACTCACCCTCTCACACGCACTCATTGAATGAATGAATGAATGAAATATAAGAAACAAATTTTAATGTTACTTATCTGCTTAAAATAAACGTAGTAATTCTAAGAACCCGAGGTTTTGAGGCACTGTATGCTGAAAGACGGGTATTAACTCACTTCAGCAGCAGAGGCTTACTAAATAGGTACAGTATACAATAAGTTTAGTTGTAAGAAAAACATGTATTTTGTTTCGTTGTGTTTTAATGAATATTATTATTATTATTTTGAAATCTAATGTTGTGAAAAATTTTGTGAAAAAAAAAAACAAAAAATATATCATTATATGATTACTTAATTGTTTTAAAACACTTATTTTTTTTAATTGAATTATCGATTATTTATGTAACAGAAAGATTGGAAGGAGCTTAATGTACCCGAGCCTTCAGTGAAGCGGCAACCGGTAACACAAGGGCAGCTCTCAATATCTGATAGATAGTTAAATCACAAAACAAAATGTATTGCATTAAATATGCAAATAAAACGTATATACTTATAGTATCACAAATATTTAGCTATGTTAAACACTTTAGAGATATTCTAATGTTAGTACTTACTATAGTAAGATTTATAATTAGCTTTCTGTATATTTATTTTTTATTTTAATACCATGGATATTTTGTAATGAGATTATAAAATACATTAGATAAGTTTTTATAAAAATAAAACAAATTTCTCCATATTATTAGTCTATTATTAATTTAGTCCTTAAAACTAGGGATCACAATGGCATTATAAATATAAACTATAATTTTGTAGCAGATTTATTAACAATATCACAATTGAATGCCACTCAGTTATTTGACGTGACATTTTTTTTATTAAAGTTGAAATGTGATGATATTGTGATAGTTTAAGTATAAAGTCAGAATTCTGTTAAAAAAGAAAAAAATAGAAGTAAAAATCGTAGTATATTGTTGATACCACTTTAAAAATAGAATAATTTCTATACACTATCTATAAATGCAGTAAAAATTTATTTGCATTCAATATGACTATTTTTTATAAGCTATTGCATTAAATAATGCTATTACATATTATTAGTGTTTTTTTTTTCAATACTTTTTCAGTAAATTGTACGATAGCTTAATACTTAAACACTTTAACAACAAGACATGTTAAGCCAACCTCGAATGAATTTGAAACCAGGGCAGGCTTAAGAAAAGAGATGATGCCAATTTTTATTTATACTATATACCTTAAATTTATTTCCAGTCTTGTTATATTAACAAGGTACCCACTTCCTGCTATCCTTCTGAATTCCCTGTTTTAGTTAAACTTACGTGAGTATATACTTATCTGTTAAGTGCCTAATGTTTGAGAACATAATTTGCATTTGGAATTCGTTGATAGGTCCTTGGTAATTTTGGACTTCAACCGTTGACTATCATTTTGTTAATTGATTTTTTAATATCACTAAAATTCATTTTCAAATGTCTAACAAGTAATAAATACCTATAATAATTTATCGATGTACTCAGATGATTGTTACGCTCATAAGTTGCCACATACGGCACTAAGTACATTCAGAGCCATAATCACAGTACTAGCAGTCTATATTTTTACAGTTAGATGTAAATTTTTACAAGTTAATTTTGGGAGACATTTTCATGTATCTTGTCAAAGGTCGACGATCTTTTCCTCGTGAAGCTACGTCGGACGGAGTTCGGCTCTGGAACTTTTAATTCCCGCCATCGTTTCTGAAATTTATTCCATATTACGTACGATTAGCATTTAGATCTAATAAATAAGTTTCTTACTATAAAAATAAATGTAAATTGACTTTATTGTCTTAATATTTTTCGTTGTTCGAAAATTAAAATTGCCTAGAATATATATATTTTTTAATGTTACTAAATACATTCGACGACTGTGCCATTATCAGGAAAATAATCAAGGTTGTGTATATTTAAAATACATAATTAAAATTATTCTTTATCACTACATTAGTAGCAAAGGAGTCTCGAACCGCAGGACACAGAGAAATTGAATTTGATAAAGATAATATTTCTAAATAATATTTGTAGATAAATGCTATCTTTGGAAATCTGTGTATTGAGTTCAAAGCTACCTGTTTTTAAATACAGTCTTTTTTTTTAAATATAGTGGCAGCTGTGGCTTTACACGCTGGTTTTAAGGACCATCTATGAGGGCCCAGGTTTGATTCCCACTCGAGACAATGTAGAAAATTAACTTCTCTCTGGTTTGACTAGTGGTACCTTCTTTGTTTTAATCACGATGTGTTTTCTTCGGGATTTAGATACAATCCATACGAGTACTTTAGCTACTCATCTTGGAATCAGAGCAATGAGTGTGATGTTGTTTAATATTTATAACTCACCAAATCCTCATCGTCCGGAACTCTCGATAGGAAATCTAATAAATCATTATTTGGTACTCTGTCCGGATTCAGAACCTTTCGCATAAATTTATAAATTCCTGAAAATAATTTTAAGAACATATTTTAGCTAATACCTTTGTACTAAAAATGTGTTATAAAAAGATATTTAACGTTGGGACTATTTTTCTATTTAATATGAAGTTCTTTTTGATATCATCGACAGATATAGATAAAAGTTTCCTTGAGCTAATAAATTTAAGCCTTATTTTTACTGTTAACAAATTAGATTAAAATTAACGGGCACATAACATTTTAATTATGATTAAAATTTTACGGATACATGAAAAATTAACTTACCTAATGCCATTATTAAATAATTACAATGTATGAAATAAAGACTGATGGCTGTCAGTAACAAAACGGTCATTGCCATGAAACTTAAGTAAGGCACTGCAAAGCTCGCCAAACTGCAAATAAACAAAATATATAAATTAAATTTGATTATACATAAACGACTTAGCCAAGCTCAGTCGAAATTTACTAGAAGAATTTATATTAATTAAAGATATTGAAACTACTACTTGTACGAATCGACATGACACCTGACATGGCCTATTTCTTTGAAAACGAAATTTCATTAATTTTTGAAATGTTAATACGACTATAGCATTAGGCAGAATAAGGTTCGTTAGAGGGTATACTTTGTAACAAAATATCAATTATCATGTTGCTTTTAAATTTTATGCCTTTTTTTATTATATATCAATTTATTTACCAGTTGTCATACTTAACTGTTATCGTTTTAGCGATCTATCATACAAATTTATGAGTATTTGAATAAAATAAATGTTAAAATATCTATTGAAATAAAAACTATCTATCTTTAAGAACCTAAAGAAGCAGAGGTAGAAAGTTTCGGCACGTTTTTTATTTCACGTAGTATATCTTTTTATTTTTGTCAAATTATGATATATTCTTATTTGTCAAAATACGTAATCTGTGATTGTTGTTCATTTTTAATGTTACTTTTTGTGGTTTTAGAGAAAAGAATAAATCCAAACTGTATAATAATTAAACTTCGGGAATCGGGTATGTTAATTTGGAAGAACATACATTGTACTCTTTACGTAACTCGGTAGCGCACTATCCGCGATTGTTGTTGTTAAGCAATTTTCGCATGGGTTGTTTACAGGATGCATGATCAAAAAATCATTAACTAAACGCCTGAGCCCCACTGCATGGTGATGTAAAAGAACTGACGATGATAAACAATAAACTTATTAGAGACTAAAATTTAATAAAGCAATTAATTTCATAGCAATTTTAGCGAACACGGTACTTTAAATTAATATAACTATTTCATTTATAAACCGATTGAAATAAAACTTACACTAAATGTAAGGTTACCATAATACAATAGTGAAAACTGCATTAAAAGCGGTTCAGCCGTTTCTGATATAAGCGTTCACAAACGCACAGACAAAAATTTAAAAATCGTTGTTTTGTGTTCTGTTACGTTTATAAATGCCCCTCACAACAGTTTTTTCATATATCTTCAATGTACAGACATCGATCGGTTACGTTTTTATTATAGCATAGATTGCTTTCGTAGACTTAGAAATCATCATACTGCATGGTGGGTGCTACTTACTTTTTTAATCTTTCCGCGAGAGACACTGAGTAATCAATGCCGTTCTTAATTGTAAACGTAATATCTTGTAATCCATATAAACGCGTCTTTATTGATTTGTCATCCTGAAATTTAAAACCTAAATTTAATCAAAACATATATGCTTATATAATTGGAAAATGTCCAGGGTCTGGATTTTAGGGCAATTTATTGAGTTTGAAGTTAATTGCTTTGGAATGAAATTAAACCTTGTCTTTAGATTACTTTGAAAGGCAAGAGGAAAGGTATAGGACGTATAAAAAGGAAAGAATGATCGAAGCAATGCGAGAAAAAGGGACACAGTATTTATTTTTATATACATTCTTTGATGTGTTACATATACATTCTGCAGTAGCATATTAAAGCAACATGAAGACAATAGATATGACAAATAGCTAAGGAGGTAAACCCTTTGGATTCAGTAACATTATTAAAATTATTGGCAAGTTTTACTTAATTACTATTAAAATATATAAGATTATAATAAGCGCAAAAAGTTTTTGATTTCCCACATTTACAATGACATTGTAATAAAATTTGTATACATTGTATAAAAAGTGACACATATATACCTTTTGGTCTAAATCTTCTTCGTCCAGTTCCAACTCCGAATTATTTAGAAGTATCAGCTGTACGCTTTTTCCCCTTGCTAAAATTTTTAAGAAAATGTTAAATTTGATGCAGCGGTGCTATTCTGTCAAAAATGATGTCGAAGCATTAGAGATTCAATACCAGACTTTCAAAAGGTAATAAGTATATTACTACGGCTAGCACTGTATTCGACGCTACTTTTTCTTTTTATATTAAAAATACTTTTAAACACAAAATACGAAATTTCATTTAAATAAAGAGAGAGACAAATCTTCAACGACAATTTTCAATGCAAATTGTCGAGGAACCATTTTCCTGGCTAATTCCAAACGCTATCTCAAGCGACTTCGAAAATACCCTAACCCGATCTACGCGGGCGAGAACCTCCATCGGATTCGCAGACCACCCCAGTCCTAGTGGACAGTTAAACTATATTTTTTGCTCCGTTTAAACACTCTCAGCGAAATTCTATCTTGGCAAAATCGGTTAGCAAACCGCATTATAATTTTCAGACATTATTAATGTTATTTGTCAACGTTTAATATAAAAATAGATTAATAAATTTAAAGTACTCGTAATGTGTAAAGAATACATTTATAATCATTTTTGGTTAGAATTAGTTGTTTTCCACCTTTTTATAAGTTCAAGTTCAGATTTTTAAAATATCTAGAATTACAAGTGTGTTCAATATTATCTTAATACATACTGAGGCCACTCATGTCCATCCAATAATATAAAAACGGTGTAATCATTAACAGTGGCGCCATCCATAGGCGGAAATAGTACCAGAAACAAAGCCAGCCTGCCAGAGCTACAAAGCACAGTTCCCGGTTTTCCCATTCAAATGCATACCTGTAAAATAATGAAATCATTTTAACCATAATTAAATCTAATCAAAATCATTTATGCAGTCTAGGCTGTTATTAAGCACTTGTGAAAGTCGAAACTCTATGCCATCGGTTCGTTAATCTATGGCGTTTGTAAATAAATTCGGCAAGGGCTGCTTTTTCTCTCCGTGTTTTAATTCATACGGAGATTTAGAAATAAAGTCACTTTATCACAATATTGGAAGCTAACAAAAAGAAAATAGTTTACATGACGTGTCTAACAAAGGCAAAAGAAATAAATTTAATATAATTATGGGTCAGTTAATGCCCGATTGAGCAGTGGTAAGCGTGTTTAGATTGCGATACGGTTGTTAAGCAGCTTTCGAAGGCCGGTCATAGAATGGGAGACCGAAAAAATATTATCTCGACCTCCGTGCTTCGGTAGGCACGTTAAGCTGTTTATTTCGGTTGCATTTGCAGTCGATAACACCCACCAATCAGCATTGGGCACTGGAACCGCACGATGGGTTATAGCCCATTCTCCCTATTTGATTCGATTTCATCCATAGTCCCAGCAATGGGGACTTTTAATATGTTGGTGATGATGAAGCTAAAATCTGCTCTACATATTGGTTAACATTATGGTGAATTTTTATTTTCAATTTGTTTTGGATTTTGCTAGATAAGTCAAAACATCACAATGTTGGCTCATGTGAGGGTATTATAATACAAAACATAATTCTACTATAATACAAAACATGATTCACATTAATTTAATGTACGGATTAAATGTACGGTCGATTAAACCATGACAAATAGTGCGAAAGTACAGAGGTTATAGATTATTTTGTATAGTTATTAGCTCTCCTTCAGTGGTCTCGCCCGTGTGGAATACCTTTAAGCCTATTTTTCGCGATAAAAACTATCCGATATCCTTTCCCTAGGTCAACTTTATCTGTGTTTGTTTGTTTTTTAGACGTCAAAATGTAATAGATACACATAGTTACTTTTGCATTTTCAATATGAGTATGGATTAATAGATTATGAATTACTAGCTTTCGCCAGCGGCTTCGCGCGCGTTGACCCTAGGGAAACGTTTAGTGGGATAAAAAGTATCCTATTATCTAAGTCAGCTAATACCCTATCTGTATACCAAAATTCAAACATCCAAACATCTTAACATCCAAACAAAGAAACTTTCACATTTATAATATTATAATATTAATAATAGGATATTTTAGAACTAGGATCCTGTCAAATAACACATGAATACGCATTTTAAGAATAGGGATGATGACTGGGTAAAAAAAATGCAATTCTATTTAGTCCGTCATTCAGATAATAGAAAAATATTAGATACGTATTTTTTTTTACTTCAATTTAACAAGAAATAGCTTAGATAACAGGCGTTAAAGTTGAGGAGTGGGGGCTCGCTACGTCACAATTGAGTAGAAAATGTACTCTAACGTGATGTCATGCGAAATTTCAACTCCAATTTTATGATTACGAAAAAAATAAAAAAGTACGTGTTTAATATTTTTTAACACTCTACCTGACGGACAAACAAACAAAAATTTGTCATCATCCCTATTGTTATTACAAATAGATAAATATTTGCAGTATTGAACTTAATTCGTGTTGAATTCAATTTTTCAGCAAGATCTAATTACTTACTTGATATGCTCATTAGCGACGTAAAGACTGTTGAATACGTCTCTTATAAACTTGAGATTATTGTATATGAGTGGAATGTTGAATTTCGGTGGTTTTTGCATATATTTAGTTTCTTTTGGACTTAGTAATCTAATTGAAGCTTTTATCTGAAAATAAGAAAGCAAATAACATAGTCAAAATGCTGGTTCCTAGTTAATAACATGAACTTTGACACATTGTAGAAGTGTCTTCTTCTTCTTTTTTAATTCATGGCCTATTTGCATTTACACAATTCCGCCAATGTCACGTTTGTGGTCTTTACACGTATAGAAACAATAATAAAATATGTAAAATTTTGAATTTCAATAAAATAAAAAAAATAGCTCTGAGCGCGTCTATCTGATTACATTGTTAAAGATAATACAAATAGAATGTATATAGAAAACAAATATATTTATAAATTAAGACTTTTATTGATTGCAAAGAATTTTGCTAAAATTTTGAATGGGCTGGGATTCTCCATACTCAAGATACATTTTATATTTGTTGGACGTGGAACTTTTGATGGTAGCAAATCATAAAGCGAAATGGATAAATTTGAACAATTAAATAAAATATGATCCGTAGTTCCTTCCTCAATGCCACAATCGCAGAGGGGGTTGTCTTTAATTTTAAATTTGGCAAGTCGAACCGGCGTACACACATGTCCAATTCTCAGGCGACAAATAATTGAAATCGTTTTTTTACTTAAAAGCTTTTCCTTAAAGAACCAGGGAGTACTGGGGATAGTTCTCTGAATTTCAAAATAATACTTTCCCGCTCTATTTCTAGTATTTTCCCAATCAACATTCCATGACCTCATTAAATGTTCATGTGCTAGTACAAAGAGATCGTGATGAAAAAGTTTGGAATATTTTAAAGAGCCAGTTATAACAGCTTGCTTAGCACATGCATCAGCTGTCTCGTTCCCAGGAATACCACAATGTCCCGGTATCCATGCGAGGGTAATGAGCAGCTTCTTAAGATGGCACCTATGCAATGCTTGTCTTATTTTAAATATTATTGGAAATTTATTTTTAGAACGAAACGGATGTGATATTATAGACTGTAAGCAACTCTGTGAATCTGTGAAAATGATAGTTTTGTTAAAGTTATGAGATTCGGCAAATAGGATGGCCTCAAGGAGAGCTAAAGCTTCTCCTGTAAATACAGAAGAGAGAGAGGGAATTTTGAAACTTAATACTAATCTGTGAGCGGGAATCCATACTGCCGATCCAACTGGATCATTAACATGCTGCTTGGACGCATCAGTGTACATAGAAATCCAGCCTTTATATTCCGATGCTAATTTCCGTGCCATTGTACGCATGGCATATGGAGAGTCTTTGTCGATTCCAAAATCAAGAAGAATGATCGGCTCAAAAATAAGTGATTCAAAGCTATTTTCAAAAAGAGGAAGACGAGAATACCGTTCTATGGGAAGGGAAGGAGTATGGAATTTTTTGTAGCTATGGAGGATACAAGAGACACCTACCGATGAACTGGAGGAAGTACTAGAAACTTTCAACAATATTTCTAATTTTACACAAAACATCTCAAAGAGCAAATTATATAATCGCTATTTTGAGATCAATATACTCATTACTTTTTTGGCGGCTTTCTGTCACTGCGACTTTTTGTCACCGCGACTTTTCGTGCCCTGTCACAGTGCCCGAGAATCCTTTAGGGGGGTGGCTTGTGCACTTGTATGTAAACGTTACCATTAGCAGACTTCAAATATGCTGCCTATTTTCGTAAAACCATAAACATTATATTTGACGCTGTAATCTCTAAATATATCAAAGTCTGTAACTCGCATACAAATGCTTTGATAAGTGAATTATTCAGAGTACAAATGACAGGATTCAGAGTACAAATGACAGGAGCACGGTGACAGATACAAAAATCAACGATGACAACTAGGCATGCCCAAGTAGACAACCGGGGGTCACGATTTTGGTATTTTTTGCGTAATGATCGCATCACAATAGAATCTTACACATGAATTATGCCATTGTACTATCTACAAGAATTCCAATTTAGTGGAATGTCTTCTTCACAAATCAATGGTGACAGATATACCTATTTATAACAACTGTATCATAAAGCCTTTTAGTTGAAGCGCTATTGACTTTCCAAAATTACGCTAACATTATTGCCCTACAGATAGGGCTCAAAAACTACGTTAATATAACCAGCTCGCAAGAAACTTCATACAATTTTGATAGCGTTTCAATTTAGGTTAGTTATTTAGTATAGATTTTGTTTCGGTTCTGATTAAAAATTAAAACAAAACAGTATCTGCTCAAAGCTCCGTCGTTTTTTCGCTATGCTATCCAAGTTATTCCCGGTACTTATAATGCTTGCGAAACGATTTGGCTTCATGTGCCTTTTTCTGGTTATTCATAATTAGCCCCGTTTAACAGTTTAAAAAATACCCGTTAATAATGATTATAGATAAATTTGAAATCACCTACCGGATTCCATACAACCGACATCTGCAGTAATATCCTGGGACAATTGCCTTTCGCACTGATTTTCTTCGATCTATCTTTCAATGCATACCACCTTTTCTCTTCATTGTTGATCCTCAGGAGTGGGATGGACAATTTACCAAGCATCTCACCCTTCATAGAATTAATTACTGACTCGTCGTATACTGTGATGTCTAACGTTGAGGTGATGTCGTTTATTCCACTGGAATTAATTGAGTTTATTATCAACTATATATTTTTTATTGGAATAGTATAAAAAATTTTCAATTCCTGAACAGAATCACAATTTTCTTTACCAGATTGTTGGATAAGTAAAATAAAATATATTTTTTTTTAGACTGAAAGTAACTATGTTTTATCGTCTCTGATTTTAACAGTTTTAAGGTTTGCACAGCTTGAAAAATGTTTTAGAAGAATTTTAAAATTCCCGAAAAATATGATAGGGTTTTTTATAGAATAAGTTGAAAACTGGAATACCTATGTTTTTCAGTTAGCTAAGTAACTTGACTTGCTAGTAATATTGGTATATTTATCCTATTTACGAGTGGAACCTACTAAAATTTGCAGCAATATTGATAACTTCACTAATATTTTCGATACCAATATTTTAGTGATAACCATCCAAAACCCTGTATCATCGAAAATAAGTAAGAGAAAATTCTTTGCTTTTAATGCTTACATAACATCGAATAATTTATAACCAGAAAAAAAAAAATTAAATATACAGCTCGTTGAAGTCTTTTACAGTAAAAAACGATGTCTCAAAATAAAATCGAAATTGTTACGCAACAGACCATTGTTTTGTTAAGTCAATATAAAAATCGGTATGGAGAATCGATTGTATTTAATAGATAAGATACGACGCGATACGGCTACGCTTAGATGACCCATGCATGAAAAATAATTTGTGATGGTGACGCAATAGAAGTTGGAGAAAACGTCAACTTTTACTTGAACTACAACCTATCAACTAGTACTTTGAATTAAGTTTGAAGTGGTTTTACTCTAAACGGGAATTGTATTTCAATAATACAGATAGACACTTTATTTCTTTGACCACACATAATTATAAAAGGTTGACAATCGTGGCTTTAATGCTAGGGTATATAATTTTTAAGGCGGTCTTATCGCTAAAGCGATCTCCTCAACACAACCTTTGAGTCGTTGAACATTTGGAGCACAAATCTGGAGGTAAAGTGCCAATAATGACATAAAAGTTCGACTTCTAAAATATCTGTTTATTTTGTTTTATCTTTTTGCTCTTCTACGCTGACATTAGTTTTTCCTTAAATCTAATGTTTACTTGAAAAATGTTATTAAATTTAAACTTGAGGTATTTGTTATTTTAGGCTATATATTCTAACAGAGTTTCAATTGGCTATTAGTATAACATTTTATTGGTTCTTTTTTAAATAATGAAGTCTGGAGATCTCGAGGACCACGGTGGATTTCTTCAATGATCCGAAATCCATTACTAACCAGGTCTAATAGTAAATTTTTAACCGGTCTGGGTGATGTGGTGTGACCTTAATTGTTTCTGATCGCATGTCACTAATATTTAAGCTACAATGTTAAAAGAGGGCAATTGTTCGGTACGAACTGACCTGGTTGAAATATAGATTCTATGGTGTTTGATCTGAGTGGTTACAGTACGTTAACTATTTCAAATATAATTTAATTTGGGTCGTTTGTTGTTCGTGTAATTTTCTTCAATAGAGATTATATTATTCGGATCTCATTTGTAGGGATTCGCAATTATCTATCATAATACGTTTTTTAAATGTGCTACAAATTATTTAATTGTAAAATTTACAGATAATTGCACATAGTTACAAATGTTTTTGTTGCTAAATTTAACCTGATTTTGCTATAACATTATTCTAGGTTAGTGAAAATAAGTCTAATACTCACAAGAAATATGTCTTGTTCCAATGAGGTTCGTTAGTGGCTGGAACAGTGTGCGTTTGAACACGTGAATTATCCAATTCTAAAACGCAGTATGCGTCCGCGCGACCACTAAATCCTAGGGCGCTGAGGCCCCGCGCCCCGTGCACTGTCACCAGCAGTTGACCCACCTCGTTTAAATTATCCAGCTTATACCATGTCTAAAATTAAATACAGATAAAAATTATTGATTACAAAAATTGTACTAACATTATAAAGACGTATTTTTTTTTACTTGTTCCGGTTATTCTGTAGAAATACTTACCCAATCAAAAAATTAAGCAACATTATGTACGGCGGGTGACATAGACTATAATTTACGCGTGCCAAGTTAGGGAAAACAGCTAGTAAATATAAGTCACTTAAAATTAATTACTTAACAATACTTATTAGCCAGACTTTATAGTATGTTATCAAAAATCATTCAACTTCATGATGACGTTACAGGGTATTGTTAATAAACAAAAAAATGTAGTGAAAAAAATATAAAAAAAATTATCAGATGGAACTAAATGAATATTATTTATTCACTCGTGAAGGTAAGCTGCATCGTTTATCTGGTAGGTTTCTGTTTGCAACCTTTCTTATGCCTATCATAAAACTTATGATGTCTCCGGCTTTCGTTTTATGAATAAAATTATCGATGAGTTTGAAAATATCAAACATCTTTCACGATCTCCTTTAATTATAACTTTCTATTTTTTCGCGACTTCGCTATAAGTTTGTTTTAGTGAGGTTATTTTAATTGAAATAAAGTTTAATATATTCTGTAAAAGTAAGTATAATCAGAATTATTGATTAAATCTCAAATGATATGTAAGGGTTAAAGACATAAGTAACAAAAAACAGACTTTATTAAAAGACTTCAATGTAGCCAAAAATGTCGCTTAAACCAATGAAACTTTCATTCCACGATTTTACTATTTGTCTATGCTTTTTTGAATTTGATCATTATATTTTTAAGACGACTGTATTTTTGTTTTATTTCTATATGAAAGAATTAAAATGTGTCTGTGATCGGTACTGATAAACGTGACAATCTTTGTTTGTTTGTGTTTTCATACAAATCTTTTTTAATTGTGTATAATATATGTATATCACCAAAAATTTAATAAAAGGAAAATTAACAATATGAATAACTCAATATCATTAAAAAAAATTATTAAACAAATTATTCTTTCACCCCTCAAAATTATATAATTAAACAGTCATGTACTTACAAAATCCTCCTTTTCGAGAGTAGCACGGTGAATGCTATTTGTGGTGGGTATAGCATCAGTAGGGGGCATCTGACCTGATCCATTCACAGTCACAAGCAAGTGCAGGCTCCCATAACCACACTCCAGCTCCAACCATAAATCCTGGGTCTTTTCTCTCTCTAGTCTTGAAAGGTCGATTGTACATCTGAAATAAAAAAAGGCGTGGTGCAGAAAACCTTGTCATTAAGTTACAAGTACTTTTGACGTATTTATTTTTTACCATATTGTTCAGTGACTAAATAAATTAAGGGATTAAAGCCTTTGTGTTATGGAAATCTTAAATAACGAAAATTTGAATGTTCTAATCTACAATTGATTTTGAGCTTAACCAACAATAGGATAAGGTTCAAAATTGACTGGGAAAAATGTCTTGTTGAAGTAACTTGACGCGTTGTTGATTGCACCACAACCATATTTGTGAATCCGAGATAATATAGATGAGTGAAATTCCTAAATTGACCTATCCTGGGTCTTTTTACCTTTTAAATTATTGTGGATTATTGTTTCGATTATTGTGGATATTGAACTGTCCTATATCGTATTAGTCTACTAGATGTTGTGGTATCTTCTTGTTTTAAATTCCACTTAGGGCTTAGCTGCTTAAATTGGAATTTAGGCCATTTAAGTACTTATTACGAATTTTTAATAATTTACATATACTTTTTGTTTACTTACCGACCCATAAAGTTTTTTTGTTTTCCTTTATACCATACTGTTGTCTCTAACATACAGTCATCGTAAAGGTACATGTTAAATCTCTCACACCACATCGCTCTAGATTTTGAAACTTGTTTCGATTTATGTGTTTCTGTACCTAGTCTGAAATGATAAAGATGAACATATAAGAGAAATTTTCAATTGTAAATTTAAGTATGGTTATTTGTACTGCACTTGATTAAGGCAGGTATTTATACAGAATAAATACCTGCCTTAATCAAGTGCTTAATCAAGTTTATACAGAAAATTAACTTGTTGTTGCATTGAGTCTATACTACTGGACCGATTTCAAAAATGTTTTCATTAATGGAAAGCTGCATCATACGCGAGAGACATAGGCTATTATATAATTAACATGAGCGTAGTTGCTGAGAACAGATAATCTAAACAACTACGGTAGTGTGTTTGAATAGAAAATTTATTAGATATTAGGTGATTACTAGAACTTCAACAAGAAGTTTAATATGGGTTCCTTATTTTATTTAATGAAGTCTACAGTGTTGCTCAGAGAGGTTTTGATCAGGTATACCATTGGCTGGGAGTCCATTTTTTGACCCTTAATACTTCAAAAAACAAATTTGTTGCATTTTCTATACGTGACTCAAAATTGTGTCCCTTAACCCATAAAAACTATAAGTTATATTATATGCACATTCGTGTTTTTCGACAGTTTGCTCATGTCCTGAAATATCCCGTTGAACAGTGTTAATTATTTAGGTATCACTATATAATCAAAAAATAAGAAATTTTTAAATCAAGCATACTGTATTTCTTCATGGGGTGGTACATCAAAAAACAAGAGCTCAAAGACTGATATTAAAATTTTGTTTCTTTAAATATACAGGGATACGAAGGTACTGACAGTTAGACAGCTGTTCTTTTTAAAAATCATCTTAAAACAACAATCCCTTATAACATTTGATAATGATCATTCGAGGTCTAAAACTAGAAGGAGACATTTAGTCTGTTCTAGATTTGTTCTGGGACATCTTACGGTTATAACTTCTTTCATATGTGTTGCTCAAAATGTAGAAGAAACAACATGAAGATTGTTATTATTAGTATTGTAATTTATACATGTGATAACAGCTGTTATATGAAAATCGACCAATAGATTTACTAACGATCACAAACATTAAAGCCAATATGACCTTTAGTCAAAGATCAAAGTATAATAAGAAATACGAAAATTATATAAGTCTGACATATACTATACATATTTATTAGCAAGCGTTTGTCGACTTTCATATGAAAAATCATTTAAATTTAAAGTATCTACTTAAAATTTCAGTATTGACAGGGAGCGTTTGAGCTTTAATATTTCATAACCTAAGTCTGAAATGAGTCTTATAGCCTAAAAAAATTTATCCGTGAACTTTGGGCTGTGCGAAATGTACCTATCTGAATGCTTTTATGCTCTTTTGTGAATAAACATTCACAAAACAATTTACTATGATTTTCACCTGGGAGGTATAGCTAATTTTATAAAAATATCTCTATGCATCTTAATGATCTGGGATCTACTTTATATATATTTTGGTGTTAAACAAAAACACCAAAATATTTATAAAACAGCATAAATATCATTGCTAAGTTTCATGTTTTATAAACAAACCCACTGTTATATTTTTTTATTTCGAAGGAAATAATAAAACAATGAGGAAGTATTTAAAAAAACATTAGTTCCCGAAATTAAACTAGATGTCGCTATGATACGTTCTTGATTTCTTCATGACAACCTTTTTCGGTTTTCTTTCAAGTTTAAAAGTAAATTGGTTTTCAAAATTCTATTTTCAAATATTCTATTTGTACTTTTTCGTATTTGTACTGATACCTAAGTTTCGAAATTTTCAAATTTTAGATTTTTAATATGTTAGTTAAAAGGAACGGAAATGATTTTCTTGGGCCGTTCATTTTCTGCAAAAATCAACTTTTGCTAGAGTCGCTATCTAGAGGAGGTGCTTTTTAGTGCTTTCATTTTTTTTTAAAAAACTTCCTTATTTCGATTCGATTAGACTATAAACACTTCAAACCGCTTTAAACACGGTTAAAGTAAATTGTTTGTTCATTTGCGGAAACGAATTCAATTAGCTTTTTCTTTATTGTTTAGTAAAAAAACAGTACATAGTTTTGCATTGAATTATTTAAATCTTATCATAGTGATTGGAAAAGAACTTCGTTATCTGACCTTCATGTTGCGGAAGACTTTGATTCTTTATGTAAGAATGTTTTTTATTCATCTGTTTCCACATAATGATAATAGTTTTTAAAACTAGTGCTGCATGTATTTTATTTTGGAAAAAAAATATAAATAAAATCTGATAAAAAAATTAAGAAAAACACAACTGCCAGTGTCGAACTAAAAAGAAAAGAAACAGGACGCATTATGGTTGAGCTAAACAAAATTCTCATTAGAATCGGGGGACCTTAGATTACAAATGGTTAATAGATTACGGTCAGGATCTAGTATGTTATTTTATAATATAATATAGAAACTCACATACATATATTAAGTCTAAACACAATACACACTTTTTCATGGGCAGACGGGTAAAAAAAAGGAAAAATTCCAAGTAAACTTACTTGAATTTACAATAGAGTCCGTTGGATCCGTTTGTCGGTCCATCGGGCAAGTCCTTGGCCTCGACCAGTACGATATTCACCACTGACTGCCATGACCTCTTCGTTAAGATGTCAAATTTTCGACTCTTCATTACATACTGTTCAACAACACAATAACAAAATAAATTTATATTATATCTTATGTTATAAGCACATATTGATTTAATTCAAGTTTTCACAAATGTTAGCATTCTATACAAATAATTCAAAGCTTTAAATTAAATGTTCTTTGATATTTTTTCCACATTACAAGTTTTCAAATGTGTAGATGAATATAACAACATAGCTATCATATAAGTAACCACCGATTATAATTACGACTAAAGATGGTTAATATCACAAAAGAAATATCATATAATAATCAGCAATAGAATACCCATTGCCATGAAAAAATTACATTTAAATCATGGAGATAGATTATGCAAAAATAAAGATTTGATTATTTCTTACCTTTTGAACCTTCTTCCCATGATCCCGTAGCAGGGACAGACCGCTACCAAGCCGTCCCATGAATTCGTTGGACACCGCGAGCGCTGTTGGCGCCAGCGGATCCATCACCAGCCCGTCCGGTATCGAAAACGACCTGGGAACAAAAACAAAAGACTAAATTCACAATATCTTCACAAGCCCAGTACACAGCCCAAGCCCACAATCACACAAGAGGAACAAATTCGTTGTGGACTCCTATGCAAATTGTTGGCTGTTAATGACCATTGGTGAAGCTCGGACTAACGGTAGCGTATGTTATGAAGCACGAAAGAGGTCAGGGTAAAAAAATCGGTCACCCATCCGACGATAGCCTTTGCATAAGTTGCTTAACTTGTGCGATTGTAGACCAAACACGCTAATTACTACGTGTTTTTGTTTTTATTGACACAGTGTATTAACTAACATTTTTTCCTCTGACTGTTATATTGAAACCTGCTTTGTGACGAGACCGAGCTAATACTGACGGCATAAAGCGCGTGTTTATCGATACATCGAGATGGAAGTTTTCCTTTAAACAACAACAGTGTAAATGCAAAACACAAAAATAGTGATTGTGTATTAAAATTCCGAACACATCGCTCCGATTAATAAATACTATTTATTTAAAGCTTCTGTTTGTTTAAGCGCGTGTAAATGATTTTAAGTTTTTTTTTCTTCATAATTCAGCAGCCTATATAATAGAAAAAATATAAATTGAGATGTATCTCGATAACAATAAGTGAACTTAAGTATTACATCCACAATAGTAAGAAATAAGTTACTATATAAAATTGCATATTTAGAAATTTTACGAGATTAAATACAAAAGTATATCAAAAGACCATTTCTATATAAATAAAGAATTTGTCGATTCTGTTATACAACTCTCTTAACTGAACTAAGCCAATAATATCTACTTTTTATTTGGTTTTAATTAAAACTACATGACGTTACAGGTAAACTTAGAAATATTAGTACTGTATGTTAATATACCCAATAAGTTTATTCCTGTGATCCTTTATATAGAACCGTTAACGAATTTTAAAAGATTTATCTAAAATTAATCTAGGTTGTGTTCACAGCATTGCTACCAATAAATGTCATATATCTATGACGGATCATATATTACAATTTTAAAGATATAAGATATTGATAAAACACCATTATTGTGGTAGGTAATGTAAAAATTGAAGAGGAAAAAATAATAAATTCCATTAATGACATCATTGCCAGAAATGTTTACAATATCTCTTAAAAGTTCTTTAGCATGATTTCGTTAACTTAAAGTAAGGTTCTACCTACACGCGTAGCATGACAAACTCGCAGGGACAAAGGAATGATTCCTCCTTTATACAAAGACAACCGGTTATAAAGCAATTTACCGTAGGCCATCTGGGAAATTCCGTTCTGATATACTGTATTGAGAACAATATTTATTAAAAACTGTAAGTCCAATTTACTTTTGTAGGACAGTTCAGGTAAGATATTCCTAATGGATATTTAGGTTGTCGGTCTGTTGGTCGCAATTAGAAAGGCGTCACATCTCGGCTGGTTAGGAAAAAAGATAGTTGGTCCAATTTGGTACTTAGGTTTAACATTAAAAGACGACTTTTCCTATTTTTAGTTTATACCTAAATTGAAAATCTATTTCATTATTTTCATATGCACATAAAAAAAATATGCGTATTAGCGTATGTATGCGTTGAATTTCATATTAAAAACCTGTAACACGATTTAGTCTTGAGATAGTGTCGTTGGAGAAAGCTGTTTATCTGGTCAGTTAACTAGCGAAGTATATAGGTACCAAACAGATGTAAAACAAAACAAAAAACCTTATATGTTAGGATTTAGTTTAATTGATTCTTATTAGTGTACATAGAAATAAAATTCCAAATTATCGATCTTTTGTTTTTTTCTTATGTCTCCACAAATGTAGTTACCAGGAGTAAAACCATAGTTTTTAGAAAACAACCTCTTTTTTGTTATTGTAATATATTTTACGTTGATACAAGTTTGCTGCTGTTTATATTTTCTCTTAAAAATTATAGCAAAGATATATAATTTTATATTTAAAGATCTCTCTATATAAATATAAATAATCTATTAATATAAAATTATTTTATAATTGATGATTGTGTATTGTCAATGCTGTGGTATTTTTTTAAAAGAAAAATACTAAATAATTCGCCAAATTTACTAATCATCGTCAATTATACTTTTTTGACATTGCCTATTATATCGAAAAAACAAAAACGCTTAACAAAAACTATTCGTGCGTACGAGATAATCAATAATGTATTATCTATGCTATATCATTATTACGGGTATTATAATTTATTCTGCGACAAATACCTGCAAATAGGTACATAACTTGACTGAAAAGAAGTCCACATATCGTCAACATTTTATACTGATTTTTAAAATTAATATCGGATTATTTATATTTGATTACTTTGAGGTCCAATGCTATGTTGATATTTATCTTATTAATTATGATTAATGTCAGATATTCGCACATTATTTGTTCCATAATAATAATAAATAGTGGAGACTAATTAATAAGTATAGATAGACAAAGGCAACATCGTTTATTATCAAATATTCACTATCTACAAACTTTTTATTCAAACAAACCAAACGCAGATATAATCAACAAAGAAATATCAAGCGACTCACACAAAATTTGACCGCCAAATTATAACTTAAAAGAGTTTAATAAAGAGATCTCATAAATAACATAGTAATAACAGTATAGCTAAAGAATAAAAACATTGGGTACAAATCTGCTCGTAAACCAATAGCGCTTTATCCATCAAACATGGATAAAGTGGTTCTATTTTATTTTATTTATATATAGATTGAAAATTGAAATTTATTTACTATATATAAATTGCCTCGATCGTAAATCAAACTCGGGACTTCAGAGATGGCATTTGAAAAGTAGTGATTGCGCTAAATATTTATTTAAAAAAATATCATTTCAATCACGATTTCAAATAAATATTAGGAAAACCGAGTCGGTCTCGCGCACCTGTTCCGTACTTGAAACGACCAAAAAAATCACGTTTGTCGTATGGAAGGCCCCTTAAATATTTTAAATATAAAATATTTTATTCTGGTTTTTACTATTTGTTGTTGAAGCAGCAACAGCAATAAACCATCTGTGAAAATTTCAACTGTCTAACTTTCACGGTTCATGGGAATACAGCTTGGTGACAGAGAGACAAACAGAGACGTCTTAGTAGTAGGATTTCCGTTTTATCTTTTGGGTCCGAAACCCTAAAAACAATGGATTTGAATTTTTATAATGAGTAAACTCAAAAACTACTGTACTGATTTTATTTTCACAAATGTATGACAAACTACATTCTGAAAAAAATTATATATTTAAGACTAAGGTAAACGAAACTACCGCACTTTGTGTAGGTATACTGAGATAGACATTAAATAAGTTTCAATACAATAAAAAACGTGTCTTACAATATTTACACTAGATTGTAATAAGGTTTATTTATAAAACAAACCGATCCAAATGAAGGCATTCGAAAGCATAAAACGCACGTTCAAGGTAATGTATTCCAAAGGACTTACGTGATAGATACAAATCCTACAGCCAGGAAATAACAGGATAATACGACTTGAGATTTCAAGTTCAACAAAACATCTACGTTTTTTTATTTTTACCTTATAACTTAACCTTTCGGTAATCGAATGCTTTATGTCTACATTAAAAACATTGAAGCGCGTTATATATATCTATTTTTAATTTTTCTACAAAAAATAGACAATATTTTGCTCATAATAATAGGACATTTCTTGACGTAAATAAATTAAGAGGTATTTCCGTGCCTACGAATAAGCAGTTATTCTAAATATAGCCACTTATTCGCGTCATGACCGAGCTATTAATAAATGAGGTCCTTTACACGATATTAAAATGTTAATGCGAAGGTTGTATTTATTCACAACTAGTTTGAAACGCGGCTTTGTCTGCTGGAATGAAAAGGTTATAATCCGCAAAAAATAAAAATTTGAAGTATATTCTAATATTATAAAAGCTTGCAAGTCGTATCTTTCTAAAATTTAATTATATTTCATCGTATCGTATAACCCATTAATAAAATGTTCTATGCTGTTTGGTTTTTAGTCATTAAGAAACTCTTCCATGATTTGTAATAGTGAGATTATTCTAGATAATGGTCAACAATCACATGCATTCTCACGAGAAGCTCAGCTAAGGAAAATCCTGGGGTTTTCTTCCTTAACTGAGTAATAGTTTATAGGTATTTCGATTGGTATTCGTATGTTTGTAAAACAATTTTATATATATACATTGCATATTTATTTTTATATGTTATTTAAACTGATAAATAAGGCGTTGGACTATCAGAGGCAAGTACAAATCTAACACTGAAATTATTTTTAAAATTGTTCTTTATAGAAATATTAGTTAAGCGAAGTAAAATGATAGTGAATTTTCTGGAACCATTGACAATTTAAAATTTTAAGGAATTTCATTTTTCTATACAAGAGTTTGTTTTCATAGTCTTGTTAATGTATTTATGTGTATGTATTTTATTTTCGCAAAAAAATATTGTGCGTGTTTTATTGATATGAGAGCAACAGAAATATTTGTTAAGCGCCACGACCTGCGATCGTTGTTGTTAAGCAACTTTCACAAATGTCGGTCAGGGGATGGGTGACCAAAAACATATTATCTAGAGCTTCGAGCTCCGGAAGGCACGTTAAGCCGTTGGTCTTTGCTGCATTTGCAGTCGTTAATACCCTCCAATCCGCATTGGGCTAGCTTGGAGTGTCATAGCCAGATGGGCTAACTATCCATAAGGAAGGCCTTCCCCTGAAGTGGGGACGAAGAAGGAAGACGATAATAACCAACCGTAGTTCAAAGTTAAATTTATTATGACGCACTTTTATAGATCAATAGGATGAGATAAGTGGCGGGAAATTTTTGTGCTTTATTTTCATTGGTAGGTCTTTGGTTTATCGAGGCCACAAATATCTATGTATATCTCATCGACTAATGAAAATTTGCTTTTCGAATTTACGTATTACGTCCTGGAAAGAATTACTAACCTAAATAATTCTATTATGTTA